ACGCACAGGTGCATATCACTCTTTACATTGGTTTCCTGTCCTCTACTGAACAGCAACATCTGTGATGTAATTATTGTAATTAACTTCAACTTTTCATTTGCTTCATTTGCTTCTTTTTCATATTGTTTCATGTTTTTCTGTGATCTCAAACTTTTTGAGTGTGCAATAAAGAAATGAATATCATAGTTTCCTCTCTTTCATAGAGAATTTGGCCAGCTTGCCTACGAGCTGTTGGACCAGTCCTACAAGCATGACGAACAGGTAGCCATGAAACTCCTAACATATGAGCTGGTCAACTGGAGTAACTCCACCTGTCTGAAGCTGGCTGTGGCTGCTAAGCATCGTGACTTCATTGCCCACACCTGCAGCCAGATGTTGCTCACCGACATGTGGATGGGCTGCTTAAGGATCGGCAAAAATCCCGGCCTCAAGGTTGATACCACAAAATGTTTCCTTTTGGGCATCCATAAAAAAATATTCCACAGTAATAATAACATCACTAGTCGTAATACATGTAGTATTGCATTTAGGTAAGAGTAAAATAACAACAAACTCACTGTGTCTTATAAAACCTGTTTTCTCACCAAGGTTATTCTGGGAATCGTCTTTCCTCCTCTGATTCTACTGTTGGATTTCCGTCTTGGAGATGATGCATCCTATCATGCACCTGGAGACAAAGAACAGGGAAAAGACAAGGATGACGACACAAAATCCAGCAAGGTAATTCATTCATTTTACACATATTGTTTAAATAATTTTTCTTGTCAAAGGGTAAAAAGATATAAACTGAAGCTGAGAGATTTCTGTTATGTTTTAGGACCCTAATAATGATGCAACTTCCCGAAAGGGAGATGAAGAGGAGGGTAGTACTAATGTCCGCAAAATCCCCATTGGCAAAAGGTTCTTTGAGTTTTATAATGCGCCATTCACCAAATTCTGGTTCAACACTGTAAGTGTCCTTCATTTAATCAAGAATGATTTCTTATTTTGTTTCACTTCGAGTGTTGTGAATTAAATGCAATGGCATTTGGGGTATTTTCTTCTTCTCTCTTCGACAGATTTGCTATCTGGGATATTTGATGTTGTACAACTACATAATCCTGGTAAAAATGGAGCGATGGCCATCTTTACAAGAGTGGACTGTCATTGCATACATCGTCACACTTGGATCAGAAAAAATCAGACAGGTACAAGCCATTAAATATGATACATTTTATCTGATTTGAGTCCTTATAAGTGTAATACATATATACATATATATATATATATATATATATATATATATATATATAGATATTATCTAAATTGTGTGGCATCTGCATGACCTTTCAACCCTGGTGTCTAGATTCTGATGTCAGAACCGGGGAAGCTGAAACAGAAGATAAGTGTGTGGCTGGAGGAGTACTGGAACATCACAGACGTGGCTGCCATTTGCACCTTCCTTCTAGGTCTCATGCTACGGCTGCAGCATGAGCCTTACTTGGGCTACGGCAGAGTCATCTACTGCATAGACATCATCTTCTGGTACATTCGTGTATTGGACATCTTCGGAGTCAACAAATACCTGGGACCCTATGTGATGATGATAGGGAAGATGGTAACAACATTTAGTGTTTCACAAATTATGCGACAATCACATGACAGACATGCAACACAAACAGAATGAACAGAAGTTTACACTAACGCTATCATTTATATGTGCTTCTTGTCTTTCAGATGATAGACATGATGTACTTTGTGGTGATCATGTTGGTGGTGCTTATGAGCTTCGGGGTGGCTCGGCAAGCCATCCTTCACCCTGATGAGGAGCCAACATGGCGCCTGGCCAGAAACATTTTCTACATGCCCTACTGGATGATCTACGGAGAGGTTTTTGCGGACTCGATAGACCGTAAGACTAGAGTTCATAGTAAGATTCTGTTTCTTGATTCTGGGCAGATGATCAGTGTTACAGTATTTTTCCTGTTTCAAATTCTGTGATGTTTATGAATAATATATTACACTGAAACCCCTCAATACTTTGTCTCCCTCTGCTGGCATATTTATATTAACCTTCAATACATGGTAATCATTTTGCATTGAGGAAAAGCAGGATATGTATTATTATCTAATTTCCTCAATGATGATCATCTGCCTGTAAGTTGTTTTTCTGTCAGTGTTTCATCTGTCAGGGTGAAGGCAACAAGCAGCTGTCGAAAAAAGCCTAAATTAGCAAGGTTATTAAATATTAAAACAGATGTTTTCTGAGGAAGTTACTGATCCTTCTGTTTGTTTTAATATACTAAAAATATATATATAAAAAAGAAGCAATCTTTAGTGTTTGATTAGTTGCAAATTGGAGAAACATTTTGATAACACCAGTCCACTCTTTCCTGGACATCGGCTTGACCTTGACAGAAGTGCGATATTAAAAAAATGCGTGTTTATTGATTTTAACGCTTTTTCAATGTTTCTCCAAGTCTATGCGATGGAAATCAACCGTGAGTATAGTGTTCAAGCCAAAAATACATTTCAAATCAGCTAAAGAGCTCGGAATAATTTCTACAGCTAGAACTTTTCTTTCGCTGCAGCTCCATGTGGTGAACATCTATATGATGAGGATGGGAAGAAACTGCCTCCATGTATCCCTGGTGCCTGGCTCACACCTGCCCTCATGGCCTGTTACCTTCTCGTGGCAAACATTCTTCTGGTTAACTTGCTCATTGCCGTGTTCAAGTAAGTATATGCCCCAATGTCTAACTGCTCTATTGTTCTACAAGAAACATCTGCTATTACAGTGTGTATACTCACTGGTCTTGGTTTCCTTTTCCACAGCAACACTTTCTGTGAAATCAAGTCCATTTCCAACCAGGTGTGGAAGTTCCAGAGGTATCAGCTGATCATGACGTTTCATGACCGTCCCATCCTGCCGCCACCTCTCATCATCTTCAGCCACCTCTACATCCTCTTCAACAGGCTGTTTCGGCGGTGTGCCAGAAAGAGACAAGATGGAGAGTTGGATGAGAAGGACCGCGGACTCAGTAAGTCACTTCTAATGATACCAAAAAAATACACACAAATGAATTTAGGTTCATCCTGGATCACAAAAAAAAAAAATGTTGCAGCCCTTATAAAATTACAGGTCAGTATTGTTTCTGACTGAAACACACTGACTGACTTGTTTCTACCAGAGCTCAGGCTGAATCCAGAGGAGCTAAAAAGTCTGTATGAGTTTGAAGAACAGTGTGTGGAGGAATATTTCCGTGAGAAAGAGGACGAGCAGCAGTCCTCCAGTGATGAACGCATCAAGGTTACCTCAGAAAGGTGAACACCCTTTTTCATGCACGGCTCAGACATTTCTAAGCATGTTGATTACAGTTTATGCTCACATAAACTATTGTTTCTCTGGTCTGCAGAGTTGAGAATATGTCCATGCGTCTGGAGGAGGTAAATGAGAGGGAGAACACTATGAAGGCCTCTCTGCAGACAGTGGATCTGCGCTTGGCACAGCTGGAAGAGATCCACGGACGCATGGCGGTTGCCCTGGAAAAGCTTGCAGGGGTGGACAGACTGGAACTGACCAGAACCCATTCACGAAACTCCGCTGTCAGCGACCCCTCCTCCCTACTGCGCCAGGGCAGTATTAACAGTGCTGACGGTTACAGTCTTTATCGCTTCCACATGGACATGGAGGAGTTTGCATCGAAGCAGAAGGACACAGATGAGACAACTAAAACTGGCGTAGAAAGACAGAGGAGTCTGCGGCAAGCCTCCAGTATTTGTACTCTCAACACAAAGGAAGGTGGTCAGACCTTAGAGGTTGGTGGTTTGGAGAGATCACGACCAAGTTCATGTGTGGACATTCTCATATCTCCATGTGAACAAAAGCCTGCCTCTGCAGCATCGAGTCAAGAGACCATATCCAACCTAAAACAAGGCAGCACAATGCTGCTAGATAGACTACAGCCTTGTTCTCCACCAAAAAGAACTAAATCCTTGAGATACTATCCAGTTGAAGACCAACCCATTTCTCCTTTGACAAAGAGGAGGGCTATGAGCACCATCATTGTCAGCCCGCCTGATGAACCCGAGGAAGCAGATGAGCCCACAAAGAAGGCCCAACTGCCGTCTGGAACCTCCTCTTCCCCAAAGAGGACTAAATCATTGAGATATGTCCCTACTGAAATCCAAAGCCAGACTTCGCCTATCACAAAAAAGAGAGCTATGAGCAGCATCATCTACAACCCAGCGGAGGCAGGTGATGATGTGCAAACTGCAGACTACAAGTCAGTAGTGGAACAGATCACTAAAACACCAAAACAGTGGCCGGCAAACTTGGAATACGAGGTGTACCCGAGCACTATTGGTCACATGCCTAAAGTGTCAACAGTCAGAACTCTCTCCCAGCAGTTCGAAGCTAGCGCTGCACCTACAGAGCCTAAAAAAGAAGAGAGTCAGACGGATCATAATCCTTTAGAACGCAAGGGAGCTCGTCCAACAGAGGAACCCGCAGCACACCAAACAAAGACGAAGGCCAAGCGCAATCTCTCAGACGCTACAGAGTATCTGACTGTAGCTGATGAAAAGCATTTTCCATCTCACAGATCGCAGAGCTTTAATGTCAGCAAGACGAAAGCAAAAGTGGTTAGCAAGGAGCCCAGAGCCTCAAGCAGCGAGAGAGACCTGGTTGAAGCCTGCAGGGTAGCAGGGGACGATGAGGGGACAAAGATGGAGGCAGAGCAGAAAGAAGATGATCCACAGGAAAATAAATGAGAGCCACGAAGGCAGGAGGGATACAACAGAATGAGGAAAAATATATTTATGGAGGAGGAATTGAAAGCTACCAGCGATGCAGAGAACTAGCCGGCCTTTCAACTGGAGATTACCGAGTTCATGATTTCACATTAATGATCAAAAATAGGATGACAGTAATGAAAAATCATTACCAAACTGACATCTTCTGTCATGCATTTAATATTAGTTGGCAGTGCAGAGTAGGGACAAATCAACACAACTCTCTCTTTGAAAGATCCACTTTCTTTACTGTCTTTCATTGGTTTAACATACAGTAACTCAACATCATTCACATTACAGCTTTCCTCAGTCATTGTGTTTTCAAGTTGGATGTCTACATTTTAGGGTGAAAATAAAGTATATACACAATCAGTTAGTTGTGCCAAAATCATGACACAACATGAACATCAAAAACATTAATTCAAATATGATTGACACTTTCAAATACTGTCTGTAAACATATTCTTTTCAGATACTGTAAAATGTGCTTAAAAATATTCCACTCAGAGGTAACCCTATAGCTTTCATGCAAATACTGACAATCGCATAACAATATGTAGTTAGGTACAGCTCCTAAGAAACAAACTACCTCTCACAGTTTCAGTTTGACACAGAAACCTGTTTAAATGAAGGTTTCCTGAAAAAGACAGTAGGTTATATTTATACATATTTTTGTCTCTCCTTTCACAACACTGGGAATCCTTCGATGCACGCATGAACAAATAGAAATGGTGCCAGTGCAACAGGAGACCGTAGGCATATTAGTATACATGAATTTACACAGACAAGTACAATCAATGCTGAGACGTGATATGTCCATCTGACAGTAACATCATGGTAAATATGATAATAGATAGAGTTTATAAAACAATGCTACAATTTATGAAAGAATCTGCATTTTCCATTTTTTTTCCCACATTTATAAGACAACTATGTGGAACTTCATCATATTAAATAAAGTCTATTTTCAGGACATCCAACAGAGGTATTATAAAAGCCAACAGAGTCACTGCCTCCTGTGAGCAGACTCTGCAGGGCCAGCTACAAACCAATTCTGAGGATCATGCTCAGGTCTTTTGCATGACAGGATATACAGTATCAGGCCTCATTCCTTGTTGATCCTCTTCATCAGGATGGCATCCCAACCACTCGTGAACCTGTGAGCTTCAGCTGGCAGGAAGGAACTCTGAATATTACCACTGCTGTCGCTGCTGGGAGGACGCCCGGAAGGTTGGAACCAGAAACAGCAAAGTCACGCTAGAGAGCCGTGAACACTGGAGGCAAGCAGCCTAGAGGAGTGAACACTTGAAGAATTTTATCCTCTTCGACTTTTTGTCTGTGATCTTGACTGGTTTGCCTGATCCTCCGGCATTGTTGTCAGTCTATCAGGAAAAGATGTGATAGTAGAGAAATGTTATAAATAAAGTAGGCCTTCACAGGAAGTGTAACACCTGTCAAGGTTGTAGGTTTAGTTCCTGCATTATAGTCATATCAATCGAGCAAATAAACATTATTATGAAACTGGTTATCAGGCTTTCAAACTTATAGAAATGTTGTGTTTTATTGCAGTACTATTAATAAACTAATGTTGATTCAAACGTTTTGTTTTCATTAATAGAGAGCTCATACTTTAACAAAAATGTTGTATAAGCATCTTTACAACAAAGAGCAGTCCAGGTACAAACATCCACCTATCAGTGACCTCTTTGTAGCCTGAGAGGTGAAACACAAGCACTCGCTACTGCTTACAAAGCTCATCTGCTGAGTGAAGGATCATTGAAAGCAACCTAGATGAGCATTATCATCTTTTTTATCAGCTCCTCTTATCTGAAAAATGGCGGCTAAACAGTAAGAAGACTGTTTCAAGGTGATTCCAGTGAATGAATATGAATCTGTAAAAAGTGTGAAAAGTGACATGTCCCCACCATACCCAATGGAATCTATTAATAAAATATCTTAATCACTTACCGTCTTTGAGCTCAGGTTATGTAATATGTCTCTTCCAATGTTATAAAAGGCCTGGAATGACAAATAATAAACAAAATATATTAAATGTACATATTTATTAGCCATGTTAGATGGTTCTTTCAGGGTAAAAAAAAAAATCAGCTTACCTCTTCTACATTTAGGCTAGACTTTGCACTTGTTTCCAAGAACTTAACTCCATAATCAATAGCCAGCTAAGTGAGATAAAAATACAAAAGTTAGCGTGTCACTCAGCCTGCACAGCATTTCAATTTGTTTGGGACTGCTTCTTAATAATGACCAGCTGCAGAAACTCACTTTTTCACCTCTGTCTTTGGACACCTGTCTCCTGTCAGCCATGTCACATTTGTTACCCAGTACCATCTTCTCCACGTCAGACGAGGCATGCTGGGAGTTAAAAAGACTCATTATGCAAAGTTGTGCTTATCAGACGCAATATCAGACAGCAAGTACAACCAAATATATAGACATATTATGAAGAAAAATATCAGTTCAACTACTAATACTAGTTTCAATTCAGTGCTCACCTCTTCAATATTTCTAATCCAGTTTTTTATGTTTTCGAAAGACTTCTCATTGCAGATGTCATAGACCAACATAATGCCCTGTGAAGAAAAACAGTCCTCCTCATAAATAATAATTATTTTGATATGCAAGATAAACCCAGAGGGAGGAAGTGCCAACATACCATTGCTCCTCTGTAGTACGCTGTGGTGATGGTGCGAAACCTCTCCTGCCCTGCAGTGTCCCTAAAAACATCAAATTCATTGTGAACATTGGTGTCACACTCAGATTTTTAAAAAAGGAAGAAAAAAAGTCAAATAACACTTACCAAATTTGAAGTTTGACTCTCTTTCCATCCAGCTCTATAGTTCTGATTTTGAAGTCTATTCCTGCATTTGAATAAACAGGCAAAAGACAGAGGCTGATGCTTACTGCATTGATTAATAATTACATGTGATTATAAAACATTTTTGCTCATCATAAGATGCACCACAAACCAGGCACTTCTGCAATACACATCTTCCCTTCCTGAACAGTAACCTTTGAATGGACTGTTAATCACATGTCAAGTCGTAGGATGACATCATTCAATGTCACAGGACAACTAGCTGCTGCAGTGTACTGTAGAGCTTAATGGAGGACATAACAATATTTTAACAATTCTGAATGGAACAAAGAAGGCCTCGTCTTTTAACAAGGATTCCAAAGGTCAAACATCATGACTACAGTTTTTGATCTCATTCCATATTTAATATCTGGTGCCTATAAGCCATCAAGGACAGGTGATTGCTATAATGAGTCTCTCCCATTGTCTTGCTCCTATGCAGTTACTGTCGCTTTAACGAATATGGGTCTGTGTAATAGAAGAAAATATGAATAATAGCCCTGCATATTGACCACCATGTGTGCAATGCTGTAAAGCATCGGTTGATACGGGCATGCATTATGTCAGATTTATATTTAGGGGCGGCAGCAGGGTATAATCACCTATTGTGGATATGAAGGTGGTATTGAAGGAGTCCTCGCTGAATCTGAACAGCAGACATGTCTTGCCGACTCCGCTGTCTCCGATGAGCAACAGCTTGAATAAATAATCGTACGTTTTCGCCATTTAAACACACCGTAGACTCCGACGTTTTGCTAATAATAGGCCGTATTGAGCCGGGGTCCCCCGTCTGGAAATCCTCAGCTGTCTGTGGTAGACTGGCAGCCGACCGGTGCCGAGGAGGGTGTCGTCACTTTCTGCTTTGCATTATGGTCTATGTAGTTTCAAGGGATAAGGGGAGAGGATTAACTTTACATGCATTCGTTTTCTTTTTAACAATCACTGTCTTATATGTAATGGGGGAAATACTAACATCGCGGTTGGTCGAATACGTCCCTGAATTGTTCAGCTTTTTGATCAATTTATATAAATATAATATAAATATAATTTTGGGTTTCTTAGTGGTCCAACGTTCGTTATCTATATGACGATTTCAATAAAGTCCCACACAAACACATCTGCTGTTGTATCAACTGCAACAAACAACTATAAACACAGGATGCAGGTTTCCAGATTTTTTTCAATTTAAGTAGTTAATGAGAAAATGCCATCAAATGTTCAAAATGCAATATTGCAATCGATTCCTCACCAAACCATTTATATTTCCAAAGAATTATTTTGTTTTAACAAAATTGCATTGAAGGACATGCTCGTGTATTTTAACATATCCTGTTAACAATATCCAGGGATGTCGCAGGTCTGGCAGCAACAGTTCCAGGAACTGCTCAGCCCTTCTTTCTCTTCCACCAGCTTACGTATGCGTCAAACAGCGAGCATAGCACTGTGAACATGCCTGTAAGTTACACTGTTTTTCCGTGGTGATTTATTTTGTTTGAGTTAATATACTGTGATGTCAACTGTCAATGCATCTTGTCGAGTTCCCACCGTCGCACGGCGCGGTTGTGTTCGTGGTGTGAAAGCCTCGGAAGTTGTGTCGATATGTAGCAGCAGCAGCACGTGTAGTTAAAGTTAGCTAGCGTTAGCCCTGTGTGGCACGGGCGGCGTCTACTTGCTGGAACGCAACCGTATCAGACGTGTGAAACGTTCTGCAATAGAGCCTGTTGTGGAGTAATGTCGGGCCAAGAAACAGTCTGTAACAATAACGTGTATTTTCTTTTATACAAGGTGGTTAGTCTCACTGGATGTGGTGTATAAACACAAATGCAAATTTATCTGAAAAACTTCAGCGTTAGTTTTCGTTACTGCCAACGTCCATGGTAAACGTTAGCTAGCTAACATCTGGATTTATTTGCCGTGTTGTCTGTCATACTAGACTAGATTAAAACAGTTATACACGTGACATGACATTGTGTAACAGGAGTAGCGTTGTTATACAACCGTCGATAAGCAATGGAAAGATAACGCTCTTTAATTAGCTCTTTCACTTATATGACTGCGGTCAATTTACTAAAATCTGTCAAATTAAATGTCGTCTATGAAATGTATTTTCTCTGTAGCTCGCCAGAGACCTCCTCCATCCTTCAATTGAACTTGAGAGAAGACAACATAAAAAGAAAAGACTCGTCCAGAGTCCTAACTCCTACTTCATGGACGTGAAGTGCCCAGGTACAGTAGATTTAATTTATCCTGGACGTGTGATACATGCACAAAGAACAATAGATGCTGTTATTGTGTGCAAGTCACACATTGACTCATCACTAGTCATTTGTCCATTTTTTACGCCGCATTATTCATACTATACATTTTCCCTATTGTTTGACAGTTAAATGTTTCTTTGCAGGCTGCTATAAGATCACCACAGTGTTCAGCCATGCTCAGACGGTGGTACTCTGTGTGGGATGCGCAACAGTGTTGTGCCAGTCAAGCGGAGGAAAGGCCAGACTGACTGAGGGTAAAACATCTTAAGAAGTTTAATTGTTGGATAAATTCCCTTTATAGATGTAATATATCTGTCAATTGTAAGTAGAAGGCTGCCTCACTCATTCTGATTTTTGCTTCACAGGTTGCTCTTTCAGAAGGAAGCAACACTAAAAAGGGACTGTACACTTAATCATGTCTGTAATTAAGCCGTGCTGTTGATGAATCCCTTGTTTTTACATCGATTACAATACAGTTGTGCATTCACTAATGGCAGGTTCTGTCACTGTACAGATGTCCAACTTTTATGTATGATGAATTTATAATCTAGCATAGCAAACATTTTTAAAATGTAAGATGATTCAAAATAAAATCTCATTTAGGCAATAAAGAAATCCGTTCTAAAACTTGAAGCATTCTGGGACTTTTATTGAGAAATGAACAAAAACAGTTTGTAAAGATTGAAATTACCTTCACAGAAAGCATAGAAGTAGTCCGTTGGGCTTCTGAAAATATATGTGCCATTGATTTCTTAGGAAACACACACAGATATATAAAAAGACATGGATTGTAAATACCGAACATACGGGACGGTGAGCCAAAGTACAGTTTTGATAACTTGGGGAGCACAAATGAAACGTACAATGAGTACTCCACTTGCATATATACCAGGAGTGTTGCTCAAAAAACAGCTTTGGCAGCTGTTTTAAACCTAATGTTCTTTGCATTATATTACTTTGAAAAACAGAACTTTAAAAGCATGTTCACAAAAAAGAAAATAATCTGAAACAGAAAACCCACATGCTCTACAACACATTGTTTTACGATTACTGCGTCTGACATTGCACTCCACTTCTGGGACCCTCCTCGTCTTCCTCATAAGCTTCCCCACTGGCGCTTCTCTGTTGCGTCCGCACATCCACCTCACAGAGTTGCACGTCCTCCATGTCGTCGGTAATCATCACTTCCTCCCTGGGAGGAAGCAGTCTTTCCAGCTGGAACATGAGATGCTCTGGAAGCCAGCCCGTCTCTGGGAAATCCACCTGCAGGATGAATTACAATCAGCTTAAATTAAACGTCTCCACAACCTAAGAATGCGATTTGTTTCGTGTTCAGTGTACCTTACCTGGAACTTAATGAAAAGCTGGCCCTTCTCAAAAGGTTCCTTGTAAATTGGCATGCCCTCATTCTGAACACATTTGACATCACTGTGCTTGATTACTTCACCTGTTGATAAAAATAAAAAACATTTGTTGATGACATTTTAATTACAAATACGTTCTAGTAGAGAAGGCAGCACTGGAGACCAGCGAATCTCCATCAATTACCCGGCTGTGAGGCGATGATGAGCATTCGGTCATCTAATGTTCGAATGGTCTTCTTGAAACCACACAGAGCCTCAGCCAGTTTGATGTTCATCTTCATGGTCAGATCGTTGACTTTTCTCTGGAACACAGGGTGCTCCTTCTGATCCAGAACTATGATCACGTCCCCGGGCTCCAATCCAGGTTCCTGGTCGCCTTCTCCAGTGAATGTAATTTTCTGACCGTCTCTCATACCTACACAGAACATTCATCTTCAGCTTAGTTTGCCCTGCAGACATATTTACACTACGATATAGAATACGAGTATCTCAGATAGGGGGAAATAACAAACCTTTATCAATGTGAACTTCAAGAACTTTCTTCTTGCGTTCTACTTTGCGTCCGTTGCAGCTCTTGCAGCGGTCTTTAGAGTTAAATTTCTCGCCCTGTCCCTGGCAGTCTGCACACATGCTTTGGATCTGCTGGATCATGCCCGGTCCAATCTGTTGCACCTTCACTTGTACTCCTCTTCCTTTGCAAGTTGAGCACTTCTCCAAGGCACCTTTCTTACCACCATAACCTGTATCAAAACAGGAGATTGCCATTTATTGAACAAAAAAAAAAAAAACAGACATTTACATTGAATATGCGATTAAAAACATTAAAGAAAAAAAGAATATAACACTACATACCTTCACATTTTTCACAAATTACACTCTTTTGAAGTCCAAGCTTCCTGGAGCTGCCTTTGTACATCTCCTCCAGTGTAACACTAAGCTGATGGACAACATTCTTCCCTACAGGAAAGGCACATATATATGCAAGGTAAACAGTTGTGCAAGCCGTGGGTATTTGAATATGTAAGTGGTCTGCTGCTAGATTACTTAAATCCTACCTCTTCTTTCTCTCTGCATCCTTCCTCCACCTCCAAAGAACATGTTGAACATGTCCATTGGAGAAGTTCCTCCACTCATGCCTCCCTCTTTGATCGCTTGTTCTCCTCCTTGGTCATACAGGTCTCGTTTCTCTGGGTTTGACAGCACCTCGTATGCTTGAGAAATAAGCTTGAACTGTGGTGATGAAAAGAAAGAACTTTCTGATAAGACTGCATCTAAAGTCTTCTTAAATAATGAATCTCTCGACTATTCTTTCTGACAATGACTGATATTTAGTGGTGCAACGGATCATAAAACTCACGGTTCGGATCAGAGTCATGAATTAGATCAGCACAAAAGAAAGAAAAAGGAGCAACTAAAACTTTTACAGATCCCTGATCATGTTTTTTGCCACCGATACTAATTGTCGATCCATATTGTTGTTTGATCACAGCAGCTGGTCTGGTTGGTTCCAAACTCTTTTTTTTGCTACCGTCCCAAAAATCATTTCAACCACTTTGAAGCCTCTAAACCCTTAACATTTCTAAATTTCATCCTTTTACTTTAGTTTTTTTCCTCATAAAAAACATACAAATCAAATAAGGAAATAAAAGATTGCATTTTTATGGATCAAACAAATATTGTAATTAGTGATTTTAATGATTATTATAAACTGCTTAGAGCTGGTGTAAACAGCTCATAATGCATCTCTAACATCCATTTTATATTGCTGTGAAAACATCTCCTTCATACAACTGGATTTACTCAGGTTTCTTACTAAAACTACAATTTACGAGATTACGACATCACGATAACGTACCTTCGCCAAATACTCATTTTCACTGAGCAGAGCCTGAACGCATCATAATGGAACCGAACAGAACCGTCGAACATTGAAGGATTAGTTACATTGTAACATTATCAGAGATCGGCGACTAGAAAAGCATATTTTACAGAATATCGGCCGATAACGATAAGAGTGTATGTCACACTGCGGTGGTTAACGTTAAACTGTGTAATTAATCCGAACCGATCACTGATATTAGCCCTGGAGCTCTGGGGTGTTAACACATTGTCTACAATGACAGTAAAGAGCCACTTCATTTTATTTTAAGGTCACAACTTCTTGTCTGATGCATTTCACCCAGCGTCAGGGGGGCAGATCTTCCTGTACTTAACCCGAGGAGCTGTGAGACCATTCCAGAAAGTTCCAGGGGGGGGGGGGGAATTCAACAAGGCGAGCAGTTTAAAATTAGAAAGGGCGACACCCTCACGTTAGCTTTATGTAACTAGCGCTAACTTACCTTCTCGCCCTCATCGGGGTTCTTGTCGGGGTGATATTTCAATGCCAGTTTCCTGTACGCTTTTTTAAGGTCATCTTGTGAGGCTTTGGGATTGACACCCAATAGATCGTAGTAGCCGGTTTCGTGCACCATGGTGACAACCTAAAACCAAAAGACACACATTAGCATATAGATCCAATGCTACCGTCAACGTGAAGGTTAGCCACATGTAGTAAAAACCTAAAATCAACGTCAGCTAACAACGTGAATACACATCCACAAAGTCCACAGTAGCCAGGACGTGCGACGGAATTAACGTTACGCTTATAGCCACCGGCAGCAGCACGTGTGGTTTAACGTAAATGAATTGCAACCATATTACGTTCGTTAAGAGCCTACGTTGTGTTCAGGCTTGAATGAAACCGTTAGCATTCATTTGCCGTATAGCTAAATCGCCGTTTCCAATCACAGCCTAGTGTACTCACTTGACAGTTGATGTTAATATCCTAGCTTTCGCTGAGACTGGTGACGGAAGATGGCTGGTTCTTATAAAGGCTCTACCGTGCAGAACTTTCTGGAGAGCTGTGAGAAGAGGGGGCCGCCGGAAGTGTCGTTGGACCTGAGGGGGGGGGGGGGGGGGGGGGGGGGGGGGGGAGAGAGAGAGAGAGAGAGAGGGAGAGAGAGAGAGAGAGAGAGAGAGAGAGAGAGAGAGAGAGAGAGAGAGAGAGAGACTACTCAGATCCTTTACATAACTGGATAATTGCTGCATTCATGTGCATCACTTTGTGTTGTAGCTGATGAAGTTGGGCCAAATGCATTAGAATATATTTGTTAACTATATTATGTAGTATTAATAATGTACCTGCAATATGACTACCAACTAAAGCGGTCAAATAAGTGATTTTTACTTAAAAGTAAAAAAGCATTATGGTAAAGCTATGGGAACAATTGCTAGTTTTTCCCCAGATCTCCCTGCGTTGTTCTTTTAAATACGAACATGCAAACACATTTATTAAGAGATGAGTTGAATAATGTAGTTTTGAAAAAAATGACGATTGAGCGAATTAGAATATGTGGTTTTAAGCCTATTTTGTACTTAACTTGTTGTAGGGAAGCCTGATAACACCTTTGCTAGAAGTTTGTCCTTCATCCCACATGGAGAAGATGATGGAGAGAATAAAACAGGCAATCTGTGAGTGTGGATATGTGAAAAAGAAACTGGTGACGTGGGCGATGTCAGTCGCTCTGGAAGCCAATCATAAGTCTATGCAAAAGTAAAAATTATGAAACTGGAGTTTTTTTAAATAATTCTTATCCAATGTAAGAAAATCTGGGAATTAAATTACCCACCAAACAGAATACTTAAATGCATTTTTCAAACAGAAAATGTGAATATAAAATAATAGAAATCACTATTTTCTCTGATAATGCTGTGGTAAGGTGGTGTCTGGCTGTCAGTACAAAATGGTCAACATACTCTGAGGAGACAGGCGAACATTTTCAAGGGTTTCCTCAATATGGAAGATAAAATAAGAGAAGCTTTGGATGAAGACAGATGGCTGCATTCTGGAGATCTGGGGAAGATAGACTAATAGGGTTTCTTGTCCATCACAGGGAGAAGAAAAGGTAGAATAATCTGAGCAAATGAAGCCATTGTAAGAAAATTGCTCATCTGGTCACTAGCTCACATTCTGTGCATTACTCACACTTGAGTCCATGTTGTTCTGGACAGAACAGACAGATCTATTATCCTTGTTAGGAGTCATGTAATGTCAGGGTGCCCTGTCTCTCTCTTCATTCAGAGCTGATAATCACAGCTGTTCCCACAGAGGAAGCAGTGAAAAAGGAGCTCATCATCAGCAATACAAGAGGAAGTTCTTGTCAATGCTTTTAGCACTGAAGGTGATGCCTTGTTATCCAGATAATGAAAAATGATATCGGGACCATATTTAATTTATTCTCTTAGGCAGAAATATTTCTTATTAATTCCCATTAGTTTCTGGTAAACAATACATTTGTACTGCTTTGAAATCATACTAGTTACTTGTATGATAGGATGTTACTCTGTAGTTTTTGTAAATAATATGTGGTATTCAGTATATCGTTGATACCAATTTGGATAAAACTTTAACATGGAAATAACTTCCACCAGGAATCTAATCACACAGGAGTCACCATCATAGCAGCTGAGACGGTTTATGATACCCACAAGAATAAAAAGTCTAGCATTTCTAATGTCATTGTAATATTTTTTCTTTATACATTCATTATAGTTGCAGCAAGAAGAACAGTTTCACAATAGAGATTACTATAACCGTTAACTTACTATGTTTAAATCATTAAAGCTTTAATTTCATAAATGACTGTGAAATATATCCAAGAACAAAATTTAAGGGTTTGACTTGTTGACATTTTGAGTGTTTCTCAAGTGTTCATGGAGGTTACAGATTACATCTTTTGTGTTAAAATAGCAGTGTTAATTACATAAGACAATAGTTGAAATGTAGCCAATAAATAGACAATATCCACCACAGATAAAACAGTTCAGGAATAAAATGCATATCACATATACAGTAACTGATGCTCAAGAGATAGTGCAACAAGAATAATGAAACATTTGGAATGTCTAATCCCAGAGTGTTTTTTTTTTTTTAAATACATATCATGGATTAAAATGTGCAGTATGTGCAGATACAACTTGACATGAAACAAAGTGACCCTAACACATAACTTGTGGTCTTATTAAACCAGATCCCTCACTCGTTGACATATTGCTTCTGTGAATTCTGAGCACTTGGAGTTTCCTCCCAGGTCTTTGGTTAGAACCTTGAAGACAGACGATAAAATCATAATAAATCAAAATGAAAACATACAACCAAAATGGCATTTCTTTCTTTCGTGACAAGTAGATTACCTTTTTGTCTCGAATGACGTCAAAGCAGGCAGTCTCAATCTTCTTGGCGTGGCCATGCAGGTCCATGTGCCGCAGCATCATGACCGCACTGAGCAGCAAGGCGGTGGGGTTGGCCATGTCTTTCCCTGCTATGTCTGGGGCAGTTCCATGAACCTGACAGGAGAAATTAATCACAATCTATCATCATGGTTGAGATTTTATGAAAAGATAAGAAACATGAAGAAGCCAAACTTTGATGCGATTAGCTAACTCTGGGGCACAAAAGGAGGTCTGCACACTCCAAATGGTTTATTTCTCTTGTAAGGCAACATTTCAATAAGGTAAATGTGATAGCGATGTGTGTCGATTTTCCTGTTTTCTCTTTCACGTTTGCCTGATGAAGATCTTTGCAGATCGTAACAAGAGAAAGAGAAATTTACCATTTGGAGCCATTTGGAACTGTGTGCAGACCTCCTCTGTGCCCTACAGTTACGTTTCTTTGTCTCACACATGAGTATATTTGCCAGGATGTGCACACACTTCTCTCTCCTTAACTCACTCATCCCACACCACGAACGTCTACTGTGCAACATGTACTTTGGTCATCACAGTCTGACAAATGGGAATAAAAAGAACATACCGACTCAAATATGGCAACACCATTAGCGCCAATGTTTCCACTAGGAGTCACTCCGAGACCTCCAATTAGTCCAGCACAAAGATCACTGTAATGGTAAACACACACAGTTACCTTTTTAGATGTATTCTTAGTTTGTAAATACGTGCTTTTTGCTCCATTTCATTGAGGGACAAAAATAATGGAGAAAATATGACTTATTAGTACAACAAGTGCAATATGCAAGAGGTTTACTTACCTCAAGATGTCTCCGTACAAATTCGGCATCACTAATACATCAAACTCTGTAGGATTCTGTACCATCTATAAGAACATGTATAAACCATGCAACTATTAATTAATAAGCAAAACCTCCAACAAAATATTTCTTTATATCCATCTAAAACATTACACACACAAAACCAATTCAGAACAAAAGCTATTGGGACTTACATTAAGGCAAACAGTATCCAAGTACATCTCATTGAATTTCACATCTTTGTGCTTTTCAGCAGCCTCTCTGCATTTTCGTAGGAAAAGGCCATCAGACATGCGCCTATAAGAAATGTCAACAGAGGACAACCATTACATTTTAGCAAACAGTTTTAAAATGACAAATTACTTGAAGCAACTTACATAATATTGGCCTTATGAACAGCAGTAACAGTGGCCCTCTGATTATTTTTGGCATATTCAAAAGCATACTCTGCGATGCGTTGGCTGGCTTGCTCTGTAATGAGCTTAATACTCTGAACAACCCCATCAACAATCTGAAAAAATACAAATCCAAGAGACATTCAGGTAAAATATGTAAAGTGTAACCAGTGTTTGAGCTTTTTCAAAAACAAAATGACAACGTTTCAATTCCTTAATATCAAAAGGTGTCTTCACTGGGGAAGCAAAACAAGACGATGAGATACAACGTTTTGATCTATTAAAGCAAATAAGCCTTTATGTTAATTCAGTGAGGAAATAATCAAAATGTCAAAAGAACAATGTAATGTATGAAAAATAAACTGGAAACAATGCAACAACTAAACAAGTGATGTGCTGTTAAAGGGTCTCACCACATGTTCAATCCCACTGTATTCTCCCTCAGTGTTCTCCCTGATGGTGACCAGGTTCACATCCGTGTAGGGGGTCTTGTAGCCCTCAATGGACACACAGGGGCGCACATTGGCATAGAGGTCAAAGGTTTTCCTCAGCAGGAGGTTCATAGAGGGATGGCCAGCAGCTATTGGCGTCTTCAAAGGACCTGTAGATTGTTGAGCAATTCAATAGTATGTACTAGAACAGGGATAAGATCTAAACCAATGTGTCATGTTTTTAATGAACAGTAAAGTATTCGTCCCGTATTTTTAAACCTCTTTCCAACACAAAGGATAAAGTTATTTTATCGCTCTTGTAGTTTCTTTAAGTAATTATAAGCCTATTAAGCAGGTTACCTTTTAGGCCAATTTTGTTCCTGTCCATCGATTCTTTGGCATCAGGAGGGATCATCCACTTGCCACCAGGTCCTTGGATGGCTGTAACATTTCTCTCCTCCCACTGAATAGGTGCCTAGATTTTAAAAAAAAAGAAAAGTGTATGTACAGAAAAATCACTCGATTAGTTTACATTATGGAGCTTTTTCCAAGACTTTAATTATTTATCTGATTTGTCTCTTCAGTATTAGTGCTGGAGTAATGCAAATACAGTGTTATCTATCGCAACCTAAAAAAAATCCTTTTTGCTGTTTATTGTTCCTGGTGAACAATGATGTTCGGCAGCCAGTACTAACTTCAGCTACTTCAAATATCTTCATGACAGCAGTGGAGATCTCCGGACCAATTCCATCCCCAGGGATTAAAGTAACAGTTTGAATCTGTGAGGCAGAACAAAGACACATAACATGCAATGATATACGAATAATTACCCACCTCAGAGTCACAGTTTAATACAAGCAAAATGTGTAGCATTAAAGGAAAGATACATACTCCACACGTGAACGTCCTGGGTTGTGGGGTCTCTTTCTTCAAAGCTCCAACCACACGTGACACCTGACAATCAAAAATGGCCACGGTTTGTAAAGGCAAAATTAAACCCTACCTCCAGCAAAGAACAGAAGTACCCAAGAATTGTACACTTATGTTAGACTAATTTATCTGGATAACTATTCCTCTGTACTGCACTCTTTTTGACCAAAAGGTACATAATCACTGTTGTGCACACGTATCTGAACATGACAAGCAGTACAAGTACATGAAGCACAAGCCATTAATGTCAGGATGGATGGATAAGCATGAGAGAAATTTGCAAAGGACGTCCTGGAAGAGGAGACTCGATCCCATTCACAGCAGGAGTTGTTAGTTCTTTGATTAGCATGTTCATTGCATCGAAAAGGCAATTTTCTGTTGTCTTGTTCAGTATAAGTGACTTAATATGCAATTAACCTTTGCTGTTGATAAACACCATCACCTCAAAAGAGGGCAATGAAGATCACTAATAGCCAATACCTTTATCTTTGAAACACAGCTGCCAGTTAACAGTAAATTAGCTTACATATGTTATCGCAGCTTAACGCTATAGTTGAATTGCAGAAATTGTAGACATGCAGTATAGCAAAGATGCCGAGAGCTTTTTCCAAACGCAGGAAGGACAGTCCACGTTGTAATGCGTAACGTTATGCTGAACCACAGTGCTGAACTTACTTCCTGAGCCTTGATTTTATCCTTGCCATTGAGCGACAAACCCCACTGTTTTAGTAGGTTAAGAATCTGTAGATGAGGGACATTTCATTGACATCTGTTGAGCAATCAGCTACAAACTAACTTTTACAACAATGCATGATCAAATAAGACATGTATAACAGCTATAGCTAGTTGCATGGGTAGGTTACGTTGGTATCTGGTATGCCTGCAGGTTTAGCGTCACTGGATTCATCTAAACACAATGTCATGAGTTTGGTGCAATACCTAAAATACCATTTACATATTTCCCCCGTACATACCGCTGACCTCCACGCCGTCCCTGCCATCTTCAACTAGCCAAGGTCGATGCAGCAGAGTCAGCAGCAGCTTGTCGAGCTCACCGCAACACAAAGCGGATGTCCGTCCGGGACTATTTCCTCCCGAAATCAACCCTCATTAAATAAATCTCAGCATTAGTTAACGTCATGATGCATGACAATTTAAATTATTTTATGGATGCAACGTTCAGTTATACACTCTTTTAATTCATTCTATAATACTGACTAATTCTACACTTAAATGCACCTTTAAAGACAGGATTTGCTCGTGCTGTTATTCTGGATATCTTCCCGGATTAGCAATGACATTTAGGGAAATGACTTCCTCTCAAGTGATACTTGAAAAAACTAAATGCGAGTTTATGAGAGGAAAACGCGTACTTGTGATCATAAACGGGCTAACGACTGATTGCTGGTCTGAATAATGGATGGACTGCGACTAGAATTGCCGCACAGACATCTTTGCACCACCAGGTGGCGACACTGGACCGCTTCTCAGAGTCCACGTACGTGTTTTCTTTTGCAGTGGATGTGCAAACAATGTCTACTATGTACGCACAGTACCAGTTGTAGGTATGAGTAAAAAGAGATGTGAAGCAATTGTATTTGCCACAAGGTGGTTCCACAAATAATAAACTTTATGATATAAAACAAGTAGAAACAGCTGAAACAATCATCCACTTTTGCAAAAAGTTCACCTCACCTCACAAAGAAAGCATACAGCATGGGAGACATGTACTCCCAAAATTATCCAGCAATGCAAAATGGAAGAAAGCTCTTAATTACGTAAAACCTATAGAAAATCTTAAGCAGCAGATCTCTCAGCATAAATGCAGGCTACAACATTGTACAAAATGCACACTGTGCAAGTAAAGACATCTTTTCAACCAAACTGAGGGGTGTCAGTATGGATAAAGGTTTTCAAACCACTTACATGTATCCTTCGATACATAATGCATAGGATGAGATTTCAACAAATGCCTCACACTGCAACACCAAGCATGTGTCTGGCAATGGTACTTATCAAGCATTTGGATACAGCTTAGTAATTTGAAAAACCTAGAGTACATTAGCCATGGAATATCATAATACAACTAAAACTTGCACACAAATGTGTCTCAAATAGCCCAACTCAGATAGCATAATGCTTTGGCTGCTTCTTCAGGCTCATAGATCTTTCAGTTTGCGAAATGACATGAGTGGCTCTGTTGTTGAGGAGTCTGCATTCATGAAGTACATCTGGAGAGGAAAATAAATGTAGGGAAAGGATTATATAGAGTTGAGTTGACTGGTTACTGTGGATCAAATGCAACACTTTTCTTTTTAAAGAATTGCTCTGCAGAGAACCTCTTACCGTTAAACTGTTTGTAGGCTTCTTCAATAATGGCATTGTTTGATCTTTTTATCTCCCAGTAATTATCCTCCACCCATGGTTTGCAATCTGGATGTTCAACAAGCTGTCCATTCTTGTATAAACCGGCTGGACATTCATAGAAAGACAAACAGTTCAGTAATGTTTTACTTGGAATATTAAAACTTTAACAATTGCAAACTGCATCACAGACTTTGGACGATTGTGTATGCAAGATAAATAACAACTGAACTTAGACTGATGAATGGAGTGTGATAATAAGTCATGACACAGTCACACACTAATTAACAAACACACCTTTGATGGTATCATCGATGTCCTTGCATAATTGGTACAACTCACTCCCACGTCCCACCACTCTTTCACCTACAGATTAGAAACAGATAAAAAAAAATGTAACAGAGTCTCGGAGATAACGTTACGCAAGAGACTAAAAGAAAAGAAAAAAGTCTTACCATCCAGCACTTTGATGTTGGGGAACATCTCAAGAACTATATTTCTATATGATGAGTTCCTGCACACTGTGCACAGAGAAAGCCACTGTGAGTATCAAGATATTCCATTCACGGGGTTGTTTTCAAATAAAGTCACAACAAAACAATTACCTGGATTACTGTAATTGTAGGTGTTGTCTTTGAGACGTATATTTTCGAGCTTCCTCAAAGGCTGAAGGCAGTGTAGGCTCTCAATGCTGTTGAAGCAGACACAACCGATGAGAGATGACTTTTACACAACCAATTCAGGATGGTGTACGTCAAAGTATAATTACTGGTAGCAAAATATTATGTTTAACAGCAATGACACATTACATTGTTTGTATACAGTGCAATTAATATTGTAATTAGTGACATATTCATAATGAGGGTAAGCATTTGGTCATATTGCGATACCTGGATATGATGTTACCAGCCAAGTTTAAGTGCTGTAAACTTTCACAACTACGCAGTGGCTCTGAAAGCACAAAAGCAATAAGATTGCAATAAAAATTCTAATTCATGACAGAGATGTGCACGATAAGGGAACACACAGCATGGAACTAAATAATATGTTGCTCCTGAAATCTTACCTAAATTGGAAATCCTGTTGGCAGACAAGCCGAGTACAGAAAGAAGCCGAAGAGATGCCAGAGGAGCTAAACTTGAGATGTTATTTCCAGAGAGGTCCAGTTTCTCTAAACTCATACACTCCCCAATGCATCCAAGATCATGGATTCCTGTAAGACATGCAACTTATCATTATAAACAATAATAACGCATTTTTGAAAGGCTTTACTGGTAGATACATTAATTGAATCTTACCAAGACCTCTCAATTTGAGGAACAGTATCGACTCCAAATCAAATTCTCCTGTACGTGACTTGAGCAGCACAGCAGTTATCTTCTCACAGTCTGCATCTGAAAGAATCGGAGAAATGAGACTGCAGCGTAACAAACCACACATTCACGTTTCTATTCTTATAGATGCAACACAATCCCAGGGTCCTCAGTTGTGAGTCAGCGCTGCAAAAAGCAGAATGCTGGAAGCCAATTGTGTCTGCTCTGTTTAAGGTGGAACACTCAAACAGCAACCCATGCAGTCCTTCTCTAAAAAAGCAAATACCAATTCAAGCAGAACATGAATTTCATTATCTGGCAGCACGCTGAGCTTTTCGTCTGCCAGCTCTGGAGAGACGGGACACAAACAGGCAGATGTGCTGTCTGTGATGGTATTAGCTCGACATTTCGCATGCATGAATAACCAGTGAGGGAGTTATATTTGGTTTAATTTCCTCAGGCAGAATCAGTCCCTAACACTAACTCCACATGACTCTTTCACGAGCCTGAACAAACGAAACACTGACTCCCCGGCAGGTTGACCATAAATAAAAATGATGCTGGGGTCATTTTCTTTTACATTTCATCCTGTTATATATTCAGATTTGCATCAGGTGTATTCATTTATTTAATATGCAAATGAAAGGGCTGTCAGACAGGGTACTGAAAAAGGAGGAACCAGTGTCGTGTTGGAGCAGGGCCATCAAACATATGTTGAAACTCATCAACACACGCAGAAATAAATAAAGGTGACGGTGTTTAGCTTAGCTTGACACCAGTAAATGCTGTTAGCTCATGTTAGCAGCTGTATCTTGTCTATCGCCTTTGTGATTTCATGAGGATGAGAGTGGGTGGGTTAGTTAATGAAATGGTAACTGTTCATTTTTCCTCTGATGATGACACACGTACAATGTTATGCGACGAACGATGCGTTGTTAGCTACATGTTTAGCTGAAGCCGCCTCTAGCTAGCGGCTAGCATAGCGACGTAGCAACAAGCTATCCGTCACAACTTACCTTGGTCTTTATCTCGCTTAGAGTCCATCGCGGGCAACTTTGCTACTTTGAAAGCTACGTGTCGCAATAAAAAGCGACGGTTTTAATCAACGCAATGGAAGACAAGGCTGTGGTTGTTTTGTTTTGGTGGGGGAGGGGGGGGGGGGGGGGAATGTGAAACTGGCATCTGTCCTGGGGTGCAGTCAGGACGCGCTCACTGTACTGCTGTGTGCTGCAATATAGCACGCAGGTGGATTGCACGGACCTCAAGTCTCTGCAGTCCAGCGCAGCGGAACGACACGGAGGCGATACATTGTGTGTTAGAGGGAGGACGAGGACGTGGCTGGGGGACATTGTTGCAGTATTTGTTAGATGTTGTGTCTGTGCAACAGGTTCGTGGCAATTCAAAGTTTTTCTTTGGATACACAGCAATGAGAAATCATCACTCAGTGGGTTTCTGTTGTGGCCATATGGGAACGTTATAGTCAATTCTTACTAGACTTAATTTAATCCAAAGGATAGAAAATACATGAGCATGCAAAGTATAATCCAATGACATAACCCATATGCATTTCTACTATGAGTTAATTTGTTTTGAAAAAAAGGAGCTGAGAAATATGGGAAAAAGGGGTTAATGGAAAGTGTCTGGCCAGACATCATTTTAGGTTTGTGCTAGTGCCCATACATTACGGAAGGTAACTTGTATTCCCTCAGTTTGAGTATTTTTATTCAACCAGGCTACATTTAGATTGAACTTTTATATGCCACTAGTTATGTAGGCTCATGTGACATATAACGTTACATTTAGCCTACTTTGCAGATCAAGAGCTTATAAACAACATATAATAATAGTGATAATATTGCTAATAATAATAATAGTAGGCAGAATACATTTTCTACCACTGCACATTACACCCCACTCTTCTTCACCCAAACATAATGACGTTGTTGACGTGCTACAACACACATAAAAGCTGCAGCCTTTAATTTCATAATATAAAATCCACATATGTGGATTGATCAACATTAAGCAACACACAATCTATAGACAGCATCTTCATTACCAGCAGGTTCTAGATTATGTATGTATCTATTTATTTATTCATGTATTCATTTATTTATTTATTTACCAGAGGTCCTATTGGTTTGCTTATCTCTGGTGGACAGCAGCTGCCTGTCTGCCGCACATCCGTCTGCAGCTCATGGTCTCCGCAGACAACCCCACTGGCTCCGACACTGGACACTGGTCCACTTAGCTTTTTTTTTTCTCCATGTTTTTCACGCATCCCTTGCGTTTTACAGGCATGGCGGACATCTCCTGTAAGGACAATAGCAACAACCTGTCTTAAGAGTTTGCATCGTCGTCAACCCATCCTGTGCGGAGACTTTGTCTTTGCCGCGGACCCCCTAAATGCCTTTCATTGAGAAAAGGCCTCGGCCGTTCAGTGTTGTGAATGTGTACAAGCAACAAATTACCTGATTAAGATGGGTAACAAGCAAACGATATTTACCGACGAGCAACTTGATGCCTACCAGGTAAGTGCACCTGCAGATTGTTGGAAGAGCGTTGTCCAACTCCTGAATCAGAAAAAAACATGTTAATGCATAAAATAAGTAGATAAGTACACTGTAAGTAAATAATTATGCTTATACAGCTTTGTAATGCTCGTACGTATTAGGTGTCAGTGTTTAAAGACTTAATTGCATGCTTTTTCTATTACTTTTTATTACTATTCCATGACTTTATTGTCATACATCACTGTTCATCTTTTCCCCTGGTATTACCCATGTCTCGATTTGGGTAAAGCAAAAATGTACTGAACATTTTGCGAGATAGAGAAAAAGGCAAATGGATGAGTGCAATATTGATCATTAGTACCAAATGGCTCAATTAATTAAAGGCAATAATCAATTTCCCACTAAAGGTCAGTTATGACTCTACTGTTTAAATATTTACATAGTCTTAATAAGGTGTGAATAGCAGAAGGTTTTGATTTCACTGCAAACTGGTGGATTTTGTGTCACTATCTGAGAACATCTGGCCCTTTGTCCCCTGTAACAACGATCCAGGTTTTCCTGGTAAGAAACACATCTTCATGTGCACAGGTTTATCATGTGATAAGGTGTGGACTTAATAATTGATACCAAGCCGGTTTGACATGCTGTGAAACTTTACTCTCAGGAGACAGTTTGGTTTTCAAGAGCCTCTCTGGTTACTCCTGCTGCTCTTTAAAAAACGTATTAACACACTGTTGTTTTCTGGTTGCATTAGTTTCTGTCTTTGGTATCAATACATCTTATTTTTGTAAGATCAGATATTTAAGGTAAAACACCCTGATATCAACTGAGTGAACTTTTTTCTTTCGTTGTTCACCACTCACCAACTTACTAATGGTGTAATCTAACACGATGGAGACAAGTAGGTTATGATGAATAGATATTGCTTTACATATACAATTATCAGTAACCCAAATATCTTCAGGACTGTTTTGAGTGGATAGATCTGTCTCTAGTGCTCAGCTGGCTTCACTCTGCTTCTCACACTCATGAGCACAGCTCAGGCAGAGTGGATACATGGGAAAATAAATGTAAAGTGAAGTGCCTCCTGTAGGGCTGTTGGATGATGTGTGTGCCAAGACATGCATGTAAGACACCAGCAGATAATGTTCCCCTTGCCACATTGTTCCGTGGCAGAGGTGACAACACTCACATACGTCATCATTTAAGTGACACCAGACACTTCGACTAGCGTTAGAGTTGTTCACGTGACTTCAGAGAAACCGTAATGTTGTTTTATGTGACTCACAGATGTGTCATTGAGAGTGTTTTATAAAACATGTAAATATCTTTTGTATCATAAATAATTTGGCATACAGTCTTTTATCAGACGTCCCTCATTTTCATATTTGTGTTATTTTTCTCTTGTTGCAGGACTGTACTTTTTTCACCCGCAAAGAAATTCTGCGGTAAGATTTTTTATCAACTGTACCTTTCTGATGTCTTGCTCACAGATGTACTGTTATTTTATTTAACTAGCATAGACTAGCTAAGTTATAAGCCACTTGCTCTAACCATAAGATCAGCCTATATACACATAATGATATCATATAAATGTACTACGCCTGTCTTTATTTCCCCATGTGCCATCCTTGTAATCCATGTAATACTGTATTTTAAATCACAAACCATACTTTCTTTACAAGGAAACGTAAAGAGAAGATTACTCACTCTGCATTTGACTCCTGTTGGAGTAATTCAAAATTATGCAAAGCAAAATTAAGAAACACGGTATTTAACATATCATTTTTATATTTCCAGTCACAGTTCAGTGGCTACTAAATGTCCTTGTGCGGAATGACATCCTAAATGATCTTCTTATACAACTCATTAATTATAGCTCCCCATCAACTTAATAACATCTCAGCAAACAGTCAATAGCATAACAGCCAATCCAGACACATTAAAATCTTAAAATCTTCAGGTGTTTGTCAATGAAGATCTAGAAGGTTCCGTCCGGTAACATCAGTATGTTACATAAACCGTTGAAAGTCGTGTTGACCTTTTGACTGTGGTGTTGTTTTCAGTGTCACATTTCTCCCTCTTTCGACATGTGCAACCTCAACACTTACAAAAATGAAATAAATATCAATCTACTCTTAGTGATTGGGTGAAGGTATCATGACTCATAGGGCCGCATCATTTCTCTCTGTCACTCACCCCCTTAATGACAGGCATAAATTAAACAAATCGCTTTTCTTTTTAATGGAATTGACCAATGATGCTCGTCTTTCAGGATCTTTTATCAGTGGTTCTAGATGTTGGAAGATACATAGCTACTAAAGAGATTAAAAGCCGATACTCAAGAATGTTGCAGCGTAACATTAGAAAAGGATGAGGGTTGGTACAGGAATTTGAGGTCTAATCTGTGCAGTAAAAGTTGTTTTTAAATGATATCTCTAAAGAATAAGACATTGAAGTCATGTGTGTCCTGAGGTGCATTGGTTACTGTCTTCTAAAATTACACAAACTACCAAGAAATAGAAATTCATGTTACAAAACAGAAACATGCTTGTTTGATCCTATATTTATTTTTATCTGTAAACCAGAGGTGATGAAATCAGTAACCTACATAATCAGTAACCACAGAAAAAAACTCGTTTTTTTCAGCAGGACTCATTTCCATGAGGCTTCTGATTAATTGCATCAATGCTGTTTGTTTCACTTTCTAACAAAACATTTGTACCTTTTTCCTCCCTTTTCCGTTATAAACAAACAGTATGCATGTACTTGTTCCTCGTCAGTGAAATTGGCCTGCTTTTGATTCAAAGACCATCATTGAACTGGAACCAAAATTGACAATCAGCCGAGGGCGTAATTGGGTCACTCTTTATGACCTTCATAAAACACGTCTCATTTCTGTCTCCAGCTGCAACGGTTACAGCACAGTTATGTGACATAAAAGAAACAGGTTATCTCTGATGTCGTAAGGATTTGAACCCCTCAGTATTGTGTCATATCCCTAGATTAAAACATTTCAGTGTATCTTTGTGTAATAGTTTTGGAAATAAAACCTGATGTTAATAGGCCAAATTTGCAGAAACTGTACGATACAAACATTTTCCACGGTCGTGGTACGTAAGAACTGCAGGTTCATTTCTTGCGGTGTACCAATGAAACTCCATCATTTTGACAGGTTTATCTAATTTAATTGTAGTGAGTTTGTCCTCTAAGACCAGGGTCCCTGCTGATAGATGGCTGTGCTCTGACAACGCAGGTACGCCATGACAGGATTAGTCAAAGGACAGAGTGAAGGGGGCTGTAGATAAGCATACACTCTCCCGACGTTGTGTCATCATTCACACAGCCTCTGATATTATTTTCAATAATGAATGACATAAAATTCAAGGTTTTAACAGCACAAGAAGAGAGGGGCAGGAGAGAGAATGATTAGTTGTGCTCTAAAATTCTCTAGGCACAACAATTTCCCCCGGAATAATACAGTTACTATCTTTTATTTTTTTAATTGTTTTAAATGTTTTCCACTGCGTAAAATGTATTACACATCAAAATATAACTGTATATTGTTATGTTTCTAAATGTCAGTAAACCAGAAGCAAAATTGTTTAAAATGTTTTTATTTTTTATTCTAGGTTGCACGGCAGATACCATGAGTTGGCTCCACATCTTGTACCGATGGACTACACCAATGATCCTGATTGTAAACTGCCTTTAGCCTTAATAGTCAACATGCCAGAATTAAAGGTAAACAAATCCTTCTTTACCATATACCTCAGTAAGTCCTTTTCCCTAATGAATCAGCCGCAATTTGCTTTTCACCAAGTTTCCAAGAGGACACTAAAACAAATGCGGCACCCACTACTCATGTGGGCCGACACCTAATCAATACACACTCTCCTTCAGCAGACAGAATTGATTTCTAGCCATCATCATCACTGATCTGATTGCATGACACCACACTCTGAGCTCATGAAAGTTAATGTGCCGTGAAACGCTCAGCCTTTCTACTCTGACTGACACACCCCCTCCTATTTTTAAGCACCTGCCATTTGAAAAGGACATCCAGGAATCTTGAATTTTGCATGTTGCGAAACATATTGCAGCCACATTTACCTCCACTTTTCTCCTGTGCACCAGACATAAATACCACACAATGTCACATGGAGTCCTTATCCGCCTAGGGTTCAGCACAGAGAATGTGGCCCTAGCTTGTAAAACCGTCACACGATTGCATGGCCTGTAAGCATGGTGGGGAGGAAGATGGAGACCAGGCAACGCAGGGTTGATGAGACCCAGACGATACGCGATCACCCGAAGTGCTCTACAGCTTCATAACCATAAATACATTCATATCTGGCTGAGTTTTAATGAGCTGTGCTGAGTTGACTGGATGATACAGGCACTGACACGTCTCAGGATATGCAGTTAAAAATGCCATTGCCCTAGGAGGTTGATTGCTGTTTATACAAATGGCTTATTTTGCTGATCTTGTATTAAGCTCAAACATGCTCATTGTCCTCTGGATAAAGGCTGTGTGTATATTAGATAAAGGTACAGAGATAGTGACATTCCAAGTCTCTTCAGTGGGAATTTATTGCAAGCTGCGTGAAATAAGATACTTACCTGGGATATAAAATCTTTAGCAGCAACTTATTGTAGCCCTGGTGTAAAAGTTAGGTATTAAAACAAGTTAGTTTATAATAAAGTTGGATGAAATAACTCAGTGAGGCAAATAAAGTGACAGTAATTTAGTTTAATAAATAAAAAGTGTTTTACTGAGAGATTAAGATAATTTAGTCCAACATAACGTAGGATGTAAATAGGTGAATAAGTAGTAAACAGCTCTAAACAATATTGCAGTGGGTTTAACAAAAAAACACTGATTGTGCCTTTAGTTTGAGCTGTGGTTGTTTGATTGGTTACTCTAGGTGTCAGTCAGTAATTGGTCGAAGGTAAAGCAGAGGGCGGGGCGAAGAGAAAAAAGACAACAAAGAAAAAGAGGCGTGAAGAGAGAGCGAAATAAATACAGAAAGAAGAAATGCAGAGAAGTGTGAACAAGTTAAAGAAGAAAACTGCAGCTGTGCACAGTTCTGCACATTTGTTGCTTAATTTCAGTCGACTTTGTCGAGAGTTGTGTGTAAGTGTGTCTGTGTAAAGCTAAAGTCGTCGAGTCGCTGGACCAGAGGACGCCATTGCTGACCCGAAAAGGACTGTTGGTGTGTTTCTGACGAGGACTTCACCGCCGTCACCTCCACTGTCGACTAGTTTCATCTCTTGCACCACAAACTGTTTCTGCAAGACTGAGCTGAACTGTGAGTTTAGACTTTCTGTGTGTTTCGCTCTGCTGAGGATCAGGACTCGGGAGGCTGCATCGCACCCGAGCTACACGGGCCTGCAAGCTTTCTTATTTTGTGTGTGTGTGTGTGTGTGTGTGTGTGTGGGTGGGTGGTCCCACGTGTGTTTTGAGTCAATTTAACGGGTAACTTAGGTCATTATGGTTGATTGACGGAGGTGAAAATAATGGCTTCACCATACTAACAAAGAGCAGAGTCAGCACTATTCAGTTGAACCCTGTGATCAGCAGAAAACACCCACCAGTTTATACCTTTGCAGATCATATGTGAAGCACGTCACCCATTGTTCCTTTCGGGTGTTTTTAAGATATTTGTTTTTCTTATCCAAACATCTTGGTATTTACATTGCAGTGAGTCTTACATTAACCCTTTGCACTGATCCTTGTATATGTTGCCATCCCCCTTCATCTGTAGGAAAACCCCTTCTGCAGCAGGATCGTAGAGTCTTTCTCCGAGGATGGGTTTGGGAATCTCAGTTTTAATGAATTTGTGGACATGTTCTCCGTCCTCAGTGAAATGGCTCCTCGAGAGCTCAAGGCGATATATGCCTTTAAAATTTACGGTAATGACGGATTTCTGAAACACTCTCATCATTTTTTTTTTAATTTTAGAATTGATCAAATGTTGTTTTTTTGTTGTACATCTCTGTTGCCCACAGATTTCAATGTGGATAATTATCTCTGCAAAGAAGACCTCGAAAAGACTCTGAATAGGCTGACGAAGGAGGAGTTGACTCCTGAGGAGGTGCAGCTTGTGTGTGAGAAAGCCATCGAGGAGGCGGATTTAGACGGAGACAGCAAACTCTCTTATGCTGACTTTGAAAATATGATTACGAGGGCTCCTGACTTTTTAAGGTGATTCAATGTTTGATGAATTTGTCAACACGTTGTATAAATGTATGTGACAAGCAAGTGGCCCTTTAAAATCAGGCTGTTCATGCATTATCCCGCATGCTGTGTACCTGGTTACTCCTTCACCAGATGGCTGGTGATCATTTTCATCATTTAACTGTCAGCCTAACAATCAATTCAATCCTGAGCCACCACTATGCACATTTACATGGTCTCTTTTGTCACTTCAGTACCTTCCATATACGAATCTGAGAGGGCTCCGTCGAAGGTTTCCACGGTCGACAGCGTGGGGAACCTCAGGACTCTACCTGTCAATGGCCACAGCACAGTGCCTGTCTCCCACTCCCACTGTCAAAGAACATCTAACCTCCCCAAACAAAATACTGGATGAAGCTGAATTCCATGAACCTGTTATTTCTTTACTAGATGAAAATGTATTTTCCTTTTACTGCCTTTTTAAAAGGGCTTGACCTGGAGGGGCCTCTTGTTGGGAGAAAGACTATTCTTTCCACATTTTAAGGTTGAATCATGGTCAGTGAAACAAGTATGAAACGAGCCAGACTCATCTACCTACAGTATATTGCACATGAGCTACCCCCAGTGACGTCTTACACACTAGATATTTAGTATTCATGAGACAAAGGACAAAGCTAGAAGTCAATGAAAGCACAGCATTGGCATTAAGGGCATACAGCTATTTTATACGAGCTATGCAATATTTAGAAATGCAGTGTGTTGCTTTTAACATTTTGGTTTGTTGTTTGTGGAACTGATTGATGACGACAATCATCTTACTGTTCTCCAGTTACATGAAGGGCTCCGTTGTCTGAACAAATGTTGGTATCTTTCTTCTGCCTCAGCCATTATCATGACATGTTAAATGCAGCCATCTTTTGGATAAACTTGTTACAATATTTTATGTGACTTCAGGTATTTGTCTTACTTAGAATAAATGTTTTTCTCTTTTTTTTTTTTTTTTTTTTTTTTTTTTTGTGTGTGTGTGAATGGATTTGTAATGTTAATTGTCGATGAAAAAGCATGAAATGATCCTTAAATACAGGAGCTCTTGTTGTTGAATCATTTCAACTGAATGACCTGACCTGAAACGTTAATGAGTTCAGTAATGTCTCATCCATATAACCAGTTTACCTCAACCCACCCATCGATGATGATAAGGACCATAACGATCAGGGAATGACTGGACCCCTGCATAGCCCATCATATGAGCAGTAATAACTTGTTAAGCAGGATGTGATCATTAGGAGTGAGCTGCCTCAGCACTCACAAGCATGATTACATCCTACACACACATTCATCTCAACGGGAAAGCTGCAGGAAATGACTGGTCATGTTTGATTAATCCTGGTTTCTTGGCTGTAGGGTACATATTTGCATCTGGTACAGTATGGAATACAATTATGTTTTTGTACGGCATGTTTTTCAGCTTAGGTTGTACTCGCGAGTCATACTGTGGATGTTGGCCAGCCATACATGCAGAACATTTTGTTCCTCTGCTAAGATTCATCCCGAGGCATCTTTACGTCTTTGCTGCCAAATGCAATGGCTGCAGAATAAGTATGACCTGGTTAATTGGGGCTGAGTCTGTATGCAGAACAGTTCGAAAATTGAAATTGGGACACTAGCTGCAACATAACATATATATAGGCTTTCCTGTGTTTGCTATATTGGTAATAACAACATGTTTGACTGTTGCTGGAACTGTGATGGCATTATTTTTCTGTGACAGCAGACAAAAAAATATACCCACGCATGCATGCAGATCAACATAACATGAGGGTACAAAACAGCCGCGGTGGTATGATTCTTCTCACGCACACTGCCAGCTATGAAATATTTGGAAAAGCTGATATTGAGAGTCTTAATTTGCCTGAAAGGGTAGGATGTTGGAGTCAGTTAAACAGTGTGCAGTCATCAGAGCAGCCAGTTAATTCTTCCTTTATCTCCGAGCCCCTTTACGAGGGCAGCACCAAATATTCAGGGCAATGCAGTGCTGATTGTGTGGCTTCATTAATTACTGGTCTCACAGAGAACATCTGTTTAATTATGATTCCAGCAGAGAAGCTTCTGGTGCACTGTGATACTGGAGCTGTAAAGCAGCCATTACTGTAAGCAAGTTTCTGTACGTTTCTGTGGTTGAGCGAGGCCAAACAGTGTGTGAAATTCGTACTGATCTCACTCAGCAGGACCTCGTCTGCTTTAATTTGATGGGATTTAAGATGGTGACTTACACCTTCACAACATGGCCACAGTGGAGAGCTGACAAACTGCTCAATGGCAGATAAAGACATTTTTGCTGTGTATCAAAATACCCTATTATTTCTTCTTTTTCTTACATTGTTAAACCCTATTTAGCAGTATTTAAAGAATTGATGAACAATTGGTTCATAACGTACAGAGTTGCAAGTACAGACAGATGTAAAATGTCTAATGCCGTATGCAATACTACAACTTTTCCTGTGAAGCCTCGGTAGCTAATGTATAAACTGATAATAAATGACTGACAATACTATACAACACAGTTGTTATCAAATATTTGTTTACCATTCTAGATCAATATTAAATATTAAGTATTTATTTTGCTATGATTATTCATTATATATATCTTCTATTTTAGCAATGAGGTATTTTTTCATACAGTTTGTGAACTAATCAAACTCCAGCCACTGCTGAGCGTCATGAGATACAGCTGAAAGCTTTTTTTTATGCAAATCTATATTTCTGAGACTAAACCCTCAAGCTTATGGGTTGTATATAAAGGGGTTTTAGGGGTTAAAGTTACGTTTTTTTAAACAGTTATTCTATGTTTGAAATATTTTGGGTTATTGTAATTCTCCATCCACATCACAGTACCACACAACTGTGTTATATTTAAATGAGGATATGTTTTATCTTCTTTTGCATACTGAACCTAGTGCATTGTGTTATCCACAGGTGCAGAAACCCACTGGTACACAATCAGGCATCTTGTCTCTCTGGTTTAAGAAGTGACACATGTTTCCTTTTCCACTGACACTATCATCTTTATCTAAGTTGTGAAATAGATTATGACTGAAATGTCAAAATATTGTTGATCCTACAAGCTGAATGATTTGATATTTGAGTGAGTTATTATATCCTGGTTTGTTTTCAGTGGAAACATCTTATTTCCATACACCTGCCACCCAAGTTCTACATAAAACAGTCCTGCATCTGATCCTGTCTGTAATGACTTCTAAAGATAACTATGACCATGGAAAGCATTCAAGTACTAAGAAAGGTTATACTGTTGTTTTAGTGCATACCACTAAAACTATAATTAGAGAGTAAAAGAGCAGCAGATGATAGAAGATAATAAATTCCATTTCAACATATTTGACACACTTCCTCATTGCAGTTGTATGCAGCCGTTTGAAATCTGTATGCAAATAAAGTTTCCTGTGAATGAAGTGCAGCATTGATGGTAGCAGCCTGTAGGCAAAATGTATTTAAAGACCAGTAGTAGACACAGCACACACTTTTTTTCTGAGGAAAAGAATTGTGAGTTTTCCTCTTTGAATCTGTCATTTATTTAAATATGGAAAATAAAATCTAAATATAGCATAAATAAATACATTAAAATGCAAAAATACAGAAAATATCATTTGAATAGCTGTGAAAATGTAATCCCATGTTGAAAAGAAGCTTTCACGAAGTGTATATTAGGCAGGACCACTGTAGTGTCAGAGAAAAACTAGTGAACATTTGTATTAGCAGCTCGTAAGATAGCATCTTCACCATTTCCTCTTGGCCTCAGGGAACAGCCATTTCCATTTATCATTCTGCAGGAGGTAAAAAAGAGTTTAATCAATAAATAAAATAGGATGCACATTAAAAACAACCTTTCAAGTGTCCAAATGAAAGCTTTTGACAACACTACTAACCTTTAACCCAAAGGATGGGTGTTTATGTTTAGGTCTGATGTCCTCCAGAGGCTCATAGGTGTTGCTGTTGGGTTCAGGTGTTGCTGTGTCCTCGTGGCCAGGAATCAGCTCGTATGTGTTGTCACGAGGGAAGCGACCAACGACGGCTTCATTGGGGACCTCAGCGTACCTGGTCCCAGAGGATGTAGTGTGTGGACTACCAGGCCTGCCAGCCAGGTGATAGACAGCACTGTCACTTATGTGTTCCAAGCTGTGGCTGCTGCTTGCTCTGCTGCTCAAGTCTGTCCTCTCTGGCAGTGGGGCTAAGCTAGCGGTTTGTCTGACGGGTTTGGGGGAAAGTCTCGGAGGAGTGTGGGGGGGTACACTCAGCCTGTAGGACTGCTCTCCATCAGAGATGTTGTCCAGAAGCGGTAGAGACCTGCTCTTGCTGTCCAGCAGGCCGAGCTCAGAGTAAACAGACTCTGCTCCAGATGGAGGACTACACCTGCTCTGATCCTGGATTGTGGATCTCTCAGCTCTCCCAACATTATCTCCTGGGAGATTGTCTTGGCAGATGTGTTGAAATGTGGGGATCTCCCTGGGTGATTGCTTCATGAGCCGAGTATACAAAACCCTGTCCGGGTCATTCAGGGGGCCACTTGCAAGGTGCCTGCTTCTCCGAGGCAAAGGTGGTACTTCCTGTTTTAAAAAACAAGCCAGGTTGTTAAAATCAGCTTGGAGGTACAGCAACAATTTATGTGTAATATATACATCAGAATAATCTTCCTGTATATAAAGGACTATACTTGCCTCCAGGGTCCTGTTGCTCTTTGGTGGCCGTGCAGGCGGCTGCTCTGACTCCGAGTTAATCTGTGGTTTTCGCATGTTCTTCACATTTCCGACAGTGGCCACATGCTTTTCTTTAGGGCTAACCTGGATGGTATCATACAGCTCTTTATCCAGTGCCTGTAAGAAAAAAAACACCAGTTAGACCTCCATTCTCGATCAACATTACTTAAAGAAAATAACTCAGGGGTTTTGTCTCACCTCAAAACACGAAGATGCCAGGTACTCTCCAAACGGCTGAATGGGTTTTGCCTTGTAGTATTCTATGAGATCAGAGACTGAGTCGTGTCCCTCAGTGTCTCCACACACTACAAACTTCCCTGATTCACTTTGGTTTATCACGAAATGTCGACACCGATCCCTGCCTCTGCAACAGGAAATTAAAATGAATTAGATTAAAAAAAAACACAAAACAAAATGTGTTTCTTCTACTGAAAAAAACGATTTAAATGGGAGTTTGATTAAAATCACTGAAATATGATCTGTGGTTTAGACAAAAAAATTTTTTAAAGTACCATGTTTCATTCTGAGCTCTAAAATACTCATTGCATACTGTACTTTAAAATTTGTATAGCATTAAAACACATTATTATAGAGAGGTTCATTTTGAAAAAGGTATATTTTTAAATAAGCTGACTAAAACACAATCAGAGGTTGTTCAGGGCAAACCAATACTCACTTATAAGACAGTATGTATCCGATGGCCTTATCACTGAGACGGATCAGGAAACAGCCCAGCTCCTTTTCTCTGAGTATTTCTTCAGCCTCCCTGTCGATAGACCACCAACAACGTTAAAACACAAACTCAAAAGTGTTTCCCAAAAGCCCAATACGGCTTGAGTTTACAGGAACAGCGAGGCTGATTTTGAGCGGAGGAAGGCGGATTACGTAATTCACCTTGGAAATTACATTGCATCAAAGGAAAATCCATTTGGTTTCAGGTCTTTTTCATAAACCTGTCATCTACCGATATATACACAGGTTCTGTAGGTGTTTACTGTACGTCTGCCAGAGGATAGGTCTTAAATGTCTGCTATGCTAAAATGTCACTACACTCTGACTTAAGATAATATAGCTTAAGTGATAACCCACATACAATTGTTTTCTTCACAAATAAAATACACCTTCTATATAAAAAATGCAGCTGGTCATTTGTTACTAATCTGTTATAGAGTTTTATAGTAGTTATAAATTAGTACATTAGTTATTTATAATTCTACATAGAAAAATACATAAAAGCACTTCGGAGAATAGAATTTCTGATATTGAGCGTTAAAGTTAATTCTTAACCTGCAAAACAGTAACAACACCTGACTCATCATAGCCCACTTGAGATTTATTTTGTACATTTAATGAAATATTTTCTTAATGAATACTTACTTTCTTGTGATGAAGCCCAGGAACCAGGTGGGGAAGAAGCCGTTCTGGACGATGAGTGGCACTTGAGTCTCTATGAACCACTTTGAAGCCAGTTCCCTGAGTCTTCCTTCAGTCCCTTCAACATGACAGTCAACTGCTGGTTCCCTTTGCTCCATCCTTGCCCGGTCCTTATCAAATCCACACAGACAGCCGATGAAGACAACCAGCATTCATTTTGAAAACATAGACAGTGAGAGTGCATTTCAACCGACTAATTTGCTTATTTTTCAGGAGGCGTCAACCTAAAGTAGCTCAACATGCTCATTGTTGCAGGAAATAACACGTTGTGTGTACTTAATCTTACATTTTAACATATACTGTATATTATTTATTTGCTGTTAAGTAACAATATTTAATAATTGAATTTAACATAATCAAAACTATTCAGCATTCACGATGTCCAAAGTCCTTTCTCCCTTTTATTCCACTAAGGCTTCTGTTTACATTGACCTCCTCTGCTGTAATGTCACACAGATGTTACGCAAACTTATACTTTGCATGGAGATTATGTGATGAATGAGTTAGTTATTAAAGCAGGGGGGGACCAGTTGTGGTGAGCGTGGTGGGGATCTAGTAACAGTACTTACCTTGAAGCAAGATGTCAGACAGGTCCTGAGGCAGGGAGATTTTGTATGTCTCTGGTCCTTTGTCCTTGACCCGGAAAAGTGGCAGATCCTCTCAGATCTGGGTTTCTGTTGTCTGTACAGCACGCAGCAATTTCTTTCAATCCCTAAAAAAAAGATGGACAATTATGAATTTATTCTAAGCTGAACATAAATATCAAAAACTGTTATGATGTGAGCTCTTTTTCTTTTTAGTTGAGATGGAGTACGTACCTTTCCTTGAGAGTGTGTGGTTTGAACCTGGTGTCATTTCAGCAAACATTCAAATGCTTCTCTCAATGTCTGAACAGTCTGTTACCTCCAAGGTTGTTCTGAGGGAGTATGACCCTACAGTGCATGGGAGATATAGACAGATGACATTTACTATTACACATATTTTTCCGCTGGCTTGGAAAGCGGTGCTGCTCGGCAACGGCACGGCAGACTTCATACAGCTCATTTGCATGAGAGAGACGTCTGAACAAAGCTGGAGCTTCCTGAAGAGAAACGGAAAGTAAGCTGTGGTTTGTGTGCATGAGTGCGTTGGTTTTTGCAAGGTGAGATGTGTTTTACCCACAGAGTGTTTGATTACTGTAATGGGAGATCAGTTGCGTCAGCAGTGGATCTTCTGTGTTTCCTGACCTGGGTTTGCAATGAATGTGGATCATGGCTGAAAAGGCCGGACCAAATGTGTGAACAAATGGAAATGTTTGGGAAGATCTACAGATACTTTAATTAAAGGGCATAAACAAAACTATAATACGATGAGATATTTCCCAGTCTTGATTTTAAGGTTGTCGTAAAAAATATATATATAGCTAACTCATTCGTGAGACAATCATCTTTCTGTTGGTTTCTGCTCAGTGGTGAGCAATGAGAAATCCCTCTGGGGGAGAGACCAAGAGACCATAACCAGAGCGAGTCTGTGTCATACTGATCGGGATGCCACTGAGATCTCAGCATTCCCCGATGATTACGTTGCTCCAACCTTGATCTCAGAAGACACTCTGCTACTTTTCCCTATAACCAGCTGAGCAAACCTGTCTCTGAAAGTTTGATCAGTGTGATCCTGAATGTCTACAAGGTTTTATTTTTCTCCAATTTTCATACAGTAGAAATTAAAAGCCTATTATCGATCGAACCAGCCACTGTTTACACAATAATTGTACCGTTATGTTCCATGTATGACCAAGTAGTGCTGCATGACCATGCGCGAGTATTTCAACATCAACTCAACAATACTGTCTGTCAGTTTCAAACTTCTTTGTGAGTCACTATGTGCTCCTCTGGGGGTGTTGAGTGGTTTAGGGTCAAATGTTATCACTGTTTCCGTGTTCGCAAAGATCCAATGTTACAGTCACAGTATCATACTGTATATAATGACCAGTTATTAATGTGTGAACAATATAAAACAAATGTGTGAACAATATAAAAAAAAGATTGCATCTACTGCAGCTGTGAGGCAAACAGATAAACAGAAAAGGAGGCAGAGTTATCAGACAGGTACCAGACAAGCGCTCTTAAGATCAATGTTCAGTCTTCTGGCGACATACCCATGAGGGGGATGTGGGTCTTTTAAAAGGTCACAAGACAGTTGAGGTTAGTAAAATGTCATTCCACCAAAACGTCAGCACATCACCTTTAAATCTGAGGGTTAAACAAGCATCCTGACAAACAACCTAAAGCAAGCCAAAGTTCAATCTGACCAACAACATAAAAACACAGGTTACACAGCTAGGTTGTTGTTGGGTTTCACTGTTGTTTCAATGGGGAAAATAATTGGCGTATATCCAAACATGGGTCGAGACAGACATGTCTAGGACGCACGTACATCATGCTTTAGCATGTTCACATATACAACCATCAATCAACCTGAAGCATGCTGAACAGCTTTGGGCAGCTCCAGGATGAACTCTGAGCCCAGTAGGAAATATTCCAACAGACTAATATGTGTTCTGTTATCGACCTCCGTCTTACTGTATGAGTCACACTGTGAATAACATAAGTGAATGTCAACACCACAGATTATACGTTGGTGATAAAACTGCTGTGAACTAGATTGATTTATTGATCAATACACTGTAGCTCCTAAGAGTGGAAAGAGTAATAACTAATTTCCTTTTACTTACTGACATGACCCATTCTGCCTAACATGTACATTTACTAGATACTGTAGTTTAGCTGCTAATAGTTCAGTACTTTTACTTAACATTTTGAATGGGAGACTTTTATTGGTAGTTGAGTACTTAGCTAACATATAGGCATATATGTGTAACAGGGGCCCAACAGCAACTTTCTACCTTCGGGTTCATCCAGCCATGTTCACCTGACAATTTTAGGTATTTGTATTTTATATTTCCAATTTTGAGGGATTTCAATATTTTATAATGACCATATTTGGTGAATATATGTGTAAATCAACAACAAAACAGGAACTATTCTTTTTTTTTGTTTACCATTTGCAGCTGCTGGAGTATCTCGGGTTGCACATCTGGTTTAACACCACCACCCAGCGGTGCTGCCGCCTCATACACTTTACACGCGTCACCTTTGAAATAAACTACATCTCCCATGCTGCCCTCTCAAAAAAAAAAGGGCAGGCAGTCATGCGGATGGAAACAGTAGTGGGCATCCGCTGCGCTGCACGAAGAAGACACTTCGAGGAAAGATGCACGAAGAGGAGGATGGCAGCGGAGCAAGCCCCTGCACGGCCTCGCGGATTGTGGCCCCGAGGTCCGTGGATGTGGCCGAAGTCGAGGGAGCGAAGGAGCAGGCCTCCAAGCTGTGCGGGTACTTGAACAAACTGTCGGGCAAGGGGCCTCTGAGAGGGTACAAGCCGAGGTGGTTCGTGTACGATCCGAGGAAATGTTACTTGTATTACTTCAAGACTCACCAAGATGCCTTGCCGCTCGGGCACATCGAAATAGGCGATGGGTGCTTCAGCTACGACGTGGAGGGGGAAGAGGGTCAGTTTGAGATCCGCACGACCGGGAAGGAGTTTCTCCTGAAGGTAGAAACTTTTCGGCATGTGTTGCACTGCTTTGCTGTCATTTGTCACTTCCTTTCTCAGTGTGGAAGGCGCAGACACACCCATTCTGATTTGTTTTATTCTCAGCTCGGATTTTAGTCGGACGTGCAAAGACTTCTGCTGACACGGTTGTGATTTGAGAACTTTTAAGAAAAAAAAAAAAAAAAATTCAAAAAATGAATCGGGCTACACGTGTTTACCAGACACGAGCTTAATCAGCACATGAGTCAGCTTAATGCCCCACACACACTGTCAGTCCACTGTGTACAAGTAGAGATAATGTTAGGCTGAGTCTTACCTGAGCTCATCTGCCCCCATGACACCCCTGCCTTGCCAATCAATCATCTCACGTGATGGTGTCTTCTCTGCTGTCACATGACTGTGACTGGTTTCAGTGCCAACAGACAGGTGTCCCTGGCTGCCCACTAAAGTCTGGGAGCGTTTTCAGCAGATGGTAGGACTGGTTAATACCAAACAGCTTGCATGGCCCGAGGCTGGAACTGAGACTGAAACCAGCGTCTGTGCTCGTTCACATGACCGATTCCTAAATGACCTGCTATCTAAAGCGCTCTCGGGCTGCTTCATATGCTTTAGTTATTTCCACAGCTGTTATTATTTTCCTAGCCAAGGTGTCATTCCATTTAAATTGATGTTTGAGTTGCCTTTCAACCTTAGATCTCCAACATGTATTTGACTTAATTGTGTTACTTCTGCGTGAACGTGTGTGTGTGTGTGTGTGTGTGTGTGTGTGTGTCTGTCTCTAGGCTTCCAGCAGACAGGTGATGCATTACTGGCTCCAGCAGTTACAGCAGAAACGTTGGGAGTACAGCAACACACGAGGCTCCGGTCAGAGAGACAGCTGGAGCTCCCCGACCCTGGCCTACCCTCCCACGGGCCTCGTAGGGAAAGATAACGGTAGGCAGGTACACATACATACATACATACATACATACGGTGGGTATGGACACCCGTTTCCACTGCTCAGTCTCTTCACATCCAGGCAGCAGCGGAAAGTAAACACCTGTATCTGATGGATTAATATTTACACAAGTTGCCAGGTTCCTGAGTTCACACAGAAGGAGCATGAAGGGGTGGTTTTGTCCAGCATTGAGCATTTTTCAAGTTTCCCCTCAAGTATCTGCCACTGTAACATGTCTAAAGGAATACATGCAGCTCAAAAACATTTACAATACAAACAAGAGAATACATTTATACAGTATAATATATTATTAAGCCTATCGGTCCCAGCATACAGTGTTATGGCGATCCAAGCAAATGTGTGTCCACCAAAGTTTAGTTTTATCCCTCAAAGAGGCTGTAAACAGTTCTCTGAGTATTTGTCTCTGCTATTTTTTTGTTACGATTGTTTTGTAAACTATTCACATTCTAGGTGTGACCCTTGCCCTTATGAGGTCAGACCGGTTAGTCACATGGTTTGACTGAAAGAAAAGTTGAGTTCAAGTTTTATGTAGAAGTTTGTTGTTGCAGTTTTTCCATTTTTGGCTTATTATTGTTATTGGAGTCCAACATATTGTAATACTTGATTTTGTCAACATTGCTCAGCCCCAATGTAAATACATAGAATACAACTATGCTTAAAGTAATCAGATGTTTAACATATTTTTTCACACAATGTGTTGTTTTTGTCTAAGAAGACTTTGACCTTTTGTGAGTGAACTGTGATGAAATGTGAAGGAGCAGGAAACGCATGTGAGATCATTAATCTCTCTTTAACTGGAATTCTCCCTCTAGCTGCGCAGAGGACATTAAGTGTGTCATGTCCTTTTTGCATGGCTAGTGAAAGATTCACATGCCAAAGCTTCTCTTCACAGTATAACCAAGATGCAAGATTACATGGTAGTAGCTACTGAGTTTAAAGGTTTAGATGCAACAAACTCAAACAAGCCGTGCTGTGACATGTGAAACTAATGTGCCGTATTAATTAAAGCTGGCACATGTAACAACAACTATGTGGTTACAAATGGCTTCCTTCTTGGGCGTGACAGCATAACGGTCGAGCTGTTTGACCTTTTACAGAATGTTCCCACACTTTCCAAGGAAATTCCAAACAAAGAGGAAACTTTATATTTACCCCTCTTTGCTCAAAATGGCTACGTACTGTATTATTTGGCTGCTCTTGAAACCACAGACATCCACTCTGCTGTAAATATCATTCTGGGTGACGCAAGACGAGCTTCACTTTACTCTGGAAAGCACGAAGGCTCACTATCTAATTTCCTAAAGAAACAATTGAAATATAGCTGCAGTCCTGCCAAACAGCAGTAATGAGTAATCCAGTGTTATTATCGAGCTGTTCTAATTGACTCTAATATATGTTTTATTTCAGATGCACCCGTCTTTGAGAAGCTAAGTGACAGCATGGAGAAGGTCCGCAGCGACTTTGCCATGGAGACGGATACCGATGGCGGGGGAATGGTGGGTATCCAGTCAGCCAGAGGGCCTTCTGCTGCGTCCACCAACCCCCTCAACTTCTCCCTCAAAAACTTCGGTACAGAAATCAGGTGAGGCTGGACGAAAGCTTTCTGCAGGCTAGATGATATTGTACCCACAGTTTTAAAAAAAAAAAAAAAAAAAAAGGGAAGTGTATTTGTTTTTACTTCCTGCCAAACCGGCACGACGAGTTTGTCTGCTGTATGCCCCAATAGAGCTGTATTAAGTAAAAGAAGAGACCTCTTCAGCTGTTCTTGAGGTTGACTCAATGAGAGGAAATGGTTAGATCCATAGTTTACTGGTTGCTCCAGTATGCAGCCATCAACAGTTCCCCTTTAGGGCCAAACAACACATCTATTCAAATGGTGCAAAACACTGAAATGCTAAAAATGCGACATGTTTTGGAATTTGTGATGGAAAGAGAGGTGAGTAGGAATCTTGGAGCATTTGAGTTGCTTAAAGCATGTGTCCTCACCAGTTTGTTTTTGCTTTCTTAAGATGTAGCTTCTCATATTTTGAAATGCATAGAGTTTTACAAGAGTTCCTGCAGTTGTGACTCATGAGCCCAGCAGAAATGTGATGTTGAGAGATGCTTTCGGGTCTCAGTTATGCTCATAAAGCGAGAGTGAGTCTGTTGTGGGGCTGCTGTTGACGAATGCATTGATACAAATTGAAGTGTGTCTTTTCCGTCACATGGACGTGAGGCTAATGACGGAAACATGTGGCTGAAACACGGTTCAGTGTATACGTGGTGTGAGGAAGGCAAGAACTGCATTCAGCTGCACACAAACAGCCATGTGGTTGCAGTGATCTCACATTTAGAAGAGTGTGTATGGGTCTCTTATTATGGACATGACCGCTGTTCATTTTATATTCAAGAATGCCTTCCATTTATGTTGTTTTTTTATTTAAATTTATATAGACACTTTATTTGTAAGTTATGCTCTCCCATTAAATGTAACCTGGACGCATCAAGCTGTATTGTGTGTTTCCTTTTACTATAAAGACCTCAACAACGGCCGTTTGTGCTCATGTTACCATTAACAAAGTAGCAGAGGCATCAGGCTTCCCTGCAGTTTGGACTTGATCCCTGAGGATTTGAAAAGCGTTCACACTGAAGCTCCACGGTCTTACTCGCACTCTCATCTGGTTTTTGTTTTGTCAGGAACTCCATGTCTTATCTGCGGCCGGGCAGAGGAGGTGAGAGCAGACGCAGTGTGCTTCATACCAACCGCAGCAGCAGCGCAGAGGAGTGGGAGCTGGTGGATGCTCCAACCAAGGACTTCCCTGAACAGAAACCTCATCCAGACACACACAGACGTACGTAATACCCATACGCATTACATTCTCCTGAGACGAATTGTCTGTTATTGCTCCACTCATTTGCTCAATAATATGACAAATGGACTAACAATGGACGGCTCCGTCCTCCTGATTCACTTTTATCACGTCTTTATCTCTCCTCTCTCAGATTCCTTTGGGTCGGCCGCAGCGTTTACTTTCGACTTTGTGCGTAACTCATCGCGGCCTAAGAAGCCTTTGCTTCGAGACATGATGGGCTCAGGGAGGTTTGGGCGCAACGCTGAGACGCACAGTGCCGAGAGCTCCCCAGTGGAGTGTAACGGCAGCAAACCTTTGGAGATGCAGCTTCGCCAACAGGAGGAACTGAGCCGCATGCACCACGAGCAGGCCAAACTCAGAGAAGAGCTGGCCAGTCAGAAGGTATGATGACATGAAAACATGACATTCGGTGGTAGACTTGTCTCCAGAAAGAGTATGGGGAAGTGGTTATGATTATGTACAAAATGTTGTCATCACCTGGTTCCTGAAAGCTCTCGTGTCCATTCACTCATGTCATTCATTAACCAATGGTGTTTTCTTGTTGCAGTAATTGTGATATCTCAAAGAGTCGATGGTTTTCACATGAACCATTAAATCTCCCACATTAGGGGTAATACTATGCTGCTTTTACTTTCATCTTTGAATTCGACACAAGCCTTTGGTTGTGGTGTCTGACTTAGCAGTTTGGTGTAATCCTGATGCTCCCGCTAATATAGGAAGACGGCAAATGATTAGTCATGCTTCAGCGAGAAACGAGGAAACGGCAGTTCTCCGAACAACAATCGCAGCTGCGTCGCTGCTTCCTATTACTCTGTTCTGTTCTTGCTTTAGTGTTGTGAGACCAGCCGGTTGATCACAATGAATATATAGTGTATGTGTCTACGCTTCCCCTGTAAAGTGGTTTACTGCCAGCTCAAACGTTAACAAGAATTAACCCAGTAACTCTGAGTACCTGACTCAACTGGCTGGAACTGCACAAGTGTTGTTGGAAATATTCAGTCACAGCTGACATTGTTCTGCTCAATGGGACGGACCAAAGCTGACATTGTATTGTTGCTGCTATTGATTTATGGCCTCTAGGTAATGTTTGGCCTCGACTGAATTTTTTAGTAACGTTGCAAAGTCCCCACATACTCTTCCTTGTTTATGGTGCTCATGGCGTTTAATTGCAATAAAGAAACGATGTCGGCTCTGCTCAATTCAGTCTTCAGACCTCTCTGTGGACGGTTTGGTCAACCAAATAGTTTCCGATGAAAACTGTAAGTTTAATTGTATGCGAGTGCGTCTGCATCAGTGTGACCACTTACAAACGCATGAGGGCATCACCTCTGCTGTGAAACAAGGCAGGAAATCCTGACTAGTCTGCACGGTCAGAGGTGTTTGTGAGAATATAATAGAATTGTTTCTTACAAGAGCGCATTTTTTTTTAGTTTTTTTTCTTACATATTTGTGAATTTGCCCCACAAAGACAAACAATGAACATTGAATTCAACATATTGATTTTTACTGCGAACCAGGCGACCACATTTGAAGGCATAATCCTTAATAATCCAATATGTATCTTTACTCAATCAGGAGTTGGTGAGACTTTTACAGCAGACTCTGAGAACCTCCCAGTGCGATAGGCAGCCAGCGCACCGTCCAACCCCGGCTACAGATTCATCCGCAGCTTCGGACCAGACTCAAGGTTCGGTAGTGACCCAGCAAGAGACCGGCCAGTTGGAGGCTCTGCTTCAGGAAAGAGATGGACAGATCCAGGACTTGTGTGGCCACATGGAGCGCCTCGCCTTGGAGAAGGAGAGTCTGCAGCAAGAGCTGAAGGGCCTGAAGATAAAGGTGGGGGAGATAAACGACCAACTGGGGATGCTGATGGAGACCATCCAGGCCAAGGATGAAGTCATCATCAAGCTGTCGCAGGAGAGTTCAGAGCAGAGCGGTACTCCAAACGACGGATCACCATCGCCCAATAAAGATCAGGAGGAGATGGACATCCTGAAGGTACAGGAGGGAACTTTTAAACCCGATATATAGTTGATACAAATTATACACATTATGAGAACTTTGAGTGTATATAAAATAGATTGTTATTTCTTTAGCTTCTTGTAGTCTGACTAACTGCACATGTGTTTCTTCAATTTCAGGACAGTCTTCAAGGCTACAAATCCCAGAACAAGTTCCTGAACAAAGAGATCCTGGAGCTGACAGTATTACGCAGAAACGCAGAGAGTAGAGAAAAGACTTTAGAAGCAAAGGTACACAGGATGTGTTGGTCGGTTAATGGTGCATTATTCTGATAATGGAAAGAGGAAGTCTGAGGAGCTTGTAGGGGAAGTCCAGTATTGCCCTTAGCTGGTGCCCCCTAAACCTAAAAATGCCAAGTAGGAACAATGAATAACTAACTATAATATCTTGCTGCTGTCAGTTATTATAGCAAAAACACTGATTCAATTTCTCTGTTGTCTTTGCTGCAGTATTTGGCGCTGGAGGCCAAGCTTTGTCAGGTGGAGAGTAAGTTTTTGGTGCTGCTTCAAGAAGTGAAGACCCCCGTATGCTCGTCTTCAGAGCAGAGCCCAGCCCGAGAAGTCATCTCCCGATTATTAGAGGATGCGCTGCAGGCAGAGAGCTCCGACCAGCAAGAGCACCCCATCTTTAAACCAAATGTTGTCAGGTACAGACTATGCCAAAAAGACTTTGTTAAAATATGCTTTTATGTTTTGTTCATATTGAAAGTTAGGTTACATTTCTAACTAATTTATTCAAGTGTTGTTGTTGTAAAGTAAAACAATTTTACAGCACTTTATACATGTTTTGCGAAGATAATCTGCTAAATATAGATGACATCACAATGTAGTGAAATGAAAATCTACAAAAGTGTCTGTCCTCTTGGTATAAGTTGACCAAAATCTAACAACACATCAAGGACAACTCCATTGCAGGAGAGAAAGAATCGCTCGTGTTGCCTAATAGCCTTAATAGGCCCACATGTATTGCAGTCCTTAAATCTGTTTTCATTTTTCTTGACTGGAAAAACTAGCTCTGCTAATTTGTACTTTGTTCGCTGTTGATGTTGCTCTGACGTCTTTGCGAGCTCAGGCATGTCCTTTTTAAGGCTCGTTAAAATGTATTGTTAGAAATTCAGGCAATCCCTGAGTGATATAGGAGATTAACCAAATGTGGGTCCCACTAAAAGTGTTGTTGAACATCATTTCCCTACGTTTTCTCTCTTCCTTGATTTGATATCAGCGAGTATGACACGTTTGGCTTCAAGACTGTCCCTGAGGAGGAGGAAGAGGAGGAGAGGCTGGTGGCAAAGATGAGAGCTCTGGAGCTGAAGTCTCTATCCATGACGGATCAGGAGGTGTCCATCGGGGTGAAGTGGGAGAACTATCTGGCCAGCACCATGAACAGAGACCTGGTGCGCTCCCCTGAGCTCAAGGCCCTGTTTCGCTACGGCGTGCCCCATGAGCACCGGTCCCAGGTGTGGCGCTGGTGTGTCTCCTTCCACGTCAAGAAGTTTCGTGACAACTTGCCACCTGACTACTATGAGACCTTACTAAATGTTGCAAGGGACAAGCCCAACCCGGCCTCAAAGCAGATCGAGCTGGATTTGATGCGTACTTTGCCCAACAACAAGCACTATTCCTCACCGAATACAGGCGGCATCCAGAAACTCAGGAACGTCCTGATGGCTTTCTCCTGGAGGAATCCAGATATCGGCTACTGTCAGGGGCTAAACAGGTACAGGAGGGGTTCTGGTTTCTCCATATCCTTCTGTCCCTCTATGCCTTGTAACTATTCATTTATATTGGATTTTATTTCTTCAGGCTGGCAGCTATCGCCTTGCTGTATCTGGACCAAGAGGACGCCTTCTGGAGCCTTATAGCCATTGTGGAGGTCTTCATGCCAAGAGACTATTACACCAAGACTCTGCTGGGCTCACAGGTGAATAAGGTTATATGCTAGCATTGGAAGACAAGTTGCAGCGTCATATTCACGTGACTGTGCGGCTCATGATCATACAAAGGATGTAGCACAGTAGTCGGCACTCTTTGCTTTCTTTCTCTCTGCTGGATCTGACCCCATGTTTTCTTCTGCTGTGCTTTATTGTCGGCAATAAAGGATGTAAATGTGTGTTGGTTGTCTTTTTGCAGGTTGACCAGCGTGTGTTCAAGGACCTGATGAGTGAGAAGCTCCCTCGGCTTCATGCCCACTTTGAGCAGTACAAGGTGGACTTCTCCCTCATCACTTTCAACTGGTTCCTGGTGGTGTTTGTGGACAGCGTGGTGAGCGACATCCTCTTCAAGATGTGGGACTCCTTTCTATATGAAGGTCCTAAGGTGAGAGCCCGAAGAGAAAGTAAAACTTCAGATCTTGACATGAGATAAGGAGAAATGTGTTGTCTTTCATTTTGCCTTCATCTACAGATGGTATGTTGGATTAGTTTTCTGTTTATGTAAACAAGAGTTTACCCAGTTTTGAAATTTGAACCCACTTTGTCTCCAACTTTATCCGATCAGCATTTGTGTTTGGATTTTTCCAGACCTCTTTTACCCTGCCAACAACCATGGCTATACAAAGTTAAAGCCCCACTATGTGTTATGTTTTACCAATAATGCATTAAATTCCTATTTTTAATGGGAAAAAATCCCAATATAACATTATCACCCACCTCTGCGTTTCTTCTTCACGTCTACAAGAGGTGAGGTTTGTGATGTAAGTGTATTTCTGTAGGCATGTGTGTGAAAGCATGCGTATAGAATGCTATTCTTAACATGGACTCAATGTTACCAACAGCTGCTCTTGAGTATCCAAATAAACAACAACAACATTTAATTATATATAATAAAAATATACCGGCACTATGTGTTTTTTAGCATGTAGTAGAAAAATATAAATGAATCCAGCATTGAACCTGCAATAACAGATTTTTGGCCACTTGGGGGCAGCGGAGACGAGCTGTGGACACCAAACTGATGATCTGTATTATCAATCAGCTTTTAAAAATATCATTGTGAACTTGTTTGCAATTTACATATCCAGCAGACACATTGCAGCAGCAGAATTCATCTGGAGTCGTGTTTGTGATGAAGTCCAATATTCACCATCACCTGAGACAAACATCTAAATGCTCCGTATATGTTCACCAGTTAGTCACGTAAACTTTGTCTGTCTGCCGTTTTGATGCCAGGCATGTGGCATGCACTGAGTTGTTGAAACATTTCATGAGAAAACGACACAGTCGAGAGCTGTGAAAGCTATAAATCTCTGTGGAACTGAGTGGAACTGCAGAGTTGGGTGATAATTCCCTGTGGGTTCATCACCATGAGTACAAACAGTTAGTCATGTGATCCATTGTGGATATGAAACTATTGATTATAGACACTTTATTAATATAGACCCTGTGTAGAGGTCTGTGGTGGGAATCATAGTTGTTCAGCTGTTCACTCGTTAAATAGCTTTTGCCTCATAACAAGACAGTGAAGACTACTGTGCTGCATGTTCAGACATTCCTCTTAAAGAGACAAATACGGTCACGCATGGAAAGTTATGAGGTGGATGTCACAGCTTTGTTCATTTTTCTCCACAGATCATATTTCGCTTTGCCCTCGCTCTCTTCAAGTACAAAGAGGAAGAGTTTCTGAAGCTGCAGGACTCCACAGCCATCTTTAAATATCTTAGATACTTTACGTGCACAATCCTGGATTCAAGGTACAGCAACTGGAATTTGTTTTCATATTTCTGAGGACATCGAGTCTGCAGTAATAAGGAGCAAGATAATTAACCTTGGAATAGCTTATCATATCTGGCTGCATGGACAAAAACCTGGTTATCCACAGTCTGTGAGTTTTGCATTTGTATACAGAATAGTCGTAATAGCTGTTCAAATATATAAAACGGGGACAACAGGATGTCAAATCTGCACAGCACAGAGCATGCAGAACAATAAACAACTATCCCATACTGACAACTGTGTCTTTGTTCCAGGAAGCTGATGAACATCGCCTTCGGGGGCATGAACCCTTTCCCCATGCGACAAATTCAGAACCGCCGCTCCTTCCATCTGGAGAAAGTCCGTCTTGAGCTGACCGAGCTGGAGGCGATCAGACAGACCTTCCTCAGGGAGAGAGAGACGAGTCAGGACAGACGGAGCTTCGTCAGCGACGATGAGGAGGATAACTGACATTAAGGTTGTCGCTGAAGTATGATGACAAAAAGATCATCTCCATACGCCGGTCATGTGTTGCAGTTGTAAAAGGATTTTTTCAAAAAGATAGTTAGAGTCTGAATCAGAGCCGGACCAATCAAATTTTTATACATTTTTCGTCGAAAGAACAACTTTACGAGCCAAATGGGCTTTCTATCAGTATTCCTGCCATTTTAAATGCTTTACTTGTTGTATGCTTGTGTGTATATGCCTCATGCACAGCACTTCAACGCCGAGCTACACTCTTACAGTCCCATTCAGTATTTTAAAAACACGGCTGTGATCTTTTAATAGTTAGTGATTTTATGTCTGTTGAAGGAATGATTGTTGTTTTTTTACTCTTGTTTTCATTTGTTTTTCTCTGCCTCCGGTCCCTTTCTCACACACGTCTTAAAGTTGTTTACCTAAATCTTTTGCTGAAATTCAAATTTTGCTGAAACTTAAAATTTAAATCTTTGAGCCTTCTGATCACCAAGTCATTCCAAAATTGTACATATCATTCCAGCCTCTCGAGGTTACACAGAGATTTCCTATCAAACCGGGGATCAAAAACGTAATCTTCCCATGTATTATCACTCACATTAACGGCACGTGGAACACCTTGGGAAAAACTGTGTTTGTATTTTGCAAGATATGCAGTATTATGCATAATGCTGGAATTACCTTTCAGATGCATTTGCATTCATTGTCCTCAGTGTGGCAGTATAACATGTCTGCCCAGTGTTTACACTAGTTCACATGTACCCTCAACACAGAATGATTTTAGAGTTTGATATACTGGCTTTGAAGTCACTCTGTCAACATGATTGAAAATAGAAATATGTTTTTTAATCTATGAGGGAAGTGTTTCAGGAGTGTGGCAACAGCTTTCCGTCTTCCACATCTAGGTACTAACAGAAGACCGTTTACTCTTTAGCACTGTGACCATATTCTCTATTACACTTGTGTCACAATTTTTGCTGTTAAACAGACCATTATGAAACAGTTGCTTGCTTAGAACGAAACCACGTTTATATTCGGTCAAACGACAGTGTACAACTGATGTTCTCTTGTGTGCCGATATATTGTTTACAGTTTGTAATAACTTTTAATTTCCTTTATTTTTACGTTACTTGACTCTACTTGCTGTTGACAGATTATTTTTGCTGTTACTTAATTGACTACCTTTTATTGTACTGTCAGTCCAAGCACCACGCCTAACATTTTGGACGGACCACCTGAACTTGTGACCAAATGACAGAATTGTGGTCGCTTTAATGATGGAAATGTGAATGAAAAAAAAAACTTGTAGAAGAAGAGATTCAATTTGTTTGTCTGCGTGAGAGCAGGTCTTTCATGAGACTCAACTTGGATCAGTTTAAGATGGAAAGATGTCTGAGGTCCAGTCATTTTGTCAAAGGGCTCATACAGTAGGTTTGCGCATATTTGTAATACATATCTGTTCTAAGCATGGTTTGAATGCATTTCCTTGTTTTCTGTCAGTTTCATATTCAGATGGAATAAGCTATGTTTTATGCTATCACCTATTTCATTTCTCTCTCTTTTGCTTTTCCCAGCAATGTATTGCACACGTGTAAGGACAAGATGACTTCAGAATATTATAGGGCACTTCACTTTTTTTGTATGTAAATCTCTATGGTATCTTGTTCATTGTTAATCTGTATCATTTAATTAAAAGCTTTTATATTACAGAATGAAATATGCCATTGTATGTTTTTTTTGTAAAACCAGTTAAAAGACAAATTCAATAAACAGCTGACTGAGTGTGATCCGACTCATCTGGAGGTGTTCATAAGAAGTAAAAAGAAACGGCTCGCTGTAGTAATCCTCAGTTCCTTAAATGCTTGAGCAGAATATACACCAGACGTGTCATCTTTATTGATAGCCGGTCTCCCCTCATTCATGCAGTTTCATAATAGAGCCATCAGGGGGCGGGACTTCTGCAGACACAAAAGCCTGATGGTTCTGCCATAAGTCACAGAGAACAACAGAGACGCTAAAGGAGCAGCTTTGTGCCTGAGCGACAGCCGCGAGGAGAACAGACCGGCTGTAGGAGACGTGGGAACCGATGCAAGTTTATCGTCCGCTCTGCGTCTTACAGAAGGTTCGACATAAGGTAAGTTTGTGGAGCCATGAAACTTATCAGATAGCAAGTCTGTGGTATATCAGTTTTTTTGTATTCACATTTTTACATGTACATAAGTGATCATTCTTTTGGTGTACAATTACTCAATATTCTATTTTTAAATTCTAATTCATAGCAGGAAAAAAAACGTTATGCTTAATAGTTACAAAGCATATGTTGCTGCCAACCTTTTTGCCAAACAAAATGTTTCACAACAATAGCAAATTTCACATATCCTGTCCTAATTAGCCCAAATGCTCTTTTCTTTTGATTGGTTACAATCACAGGAACTAGCCACTGTTACACTGCCCAGCTTGGCACAGTTCAGTTGTGTTTGTTCAATTTTTAAAGCCAATAATCAGACTTTAGACAAGGGAAAGACGGACTCTTTTGCTGGTGAACTTATAGTGTTTGGGCTTTTCTCAAGAAGAAGGTGAAAGTGTGTACAACTCTGAGATGGAATGCTATACAAGCTGGAACATGTAAACGTTTTCATCACTCCAGTCATAATTCAACAGGTACACCTCTTTGTACCAGCAGGGTTGGACTTGGGGAGAAAGGGAACCAGCTGGATAGACGGGCTTCAGCGGTGCACATCAAGGAGATAAACTACATCAATGAAGACACTTGGCATGGCGGTATTCAAGCAGCAGCATGTGGATGATTTCTATGAAATTGGAGAAGAACTGGGAAGGTGAGTAGTTTTCAAAGCTGTACAGTAGAGGCGTTTAACATGCGGAGATGTTTAACTCCATCGTATAGAAAATGATCCTCCTCACTCTGTGTGACGCAGAGTGTGATTCAGCTCTCCCCTGCATGTCTCTTGACACAGAGGTCCTCGTGTGTACGTAGGTATGCAAACAGCTGGCCTGTTTAAGCTTGAATTGGGGAGTGTCGCTAGGTTGAAGTTTACAGTGAGAGATAAAGTTTCAAACGCACTCTAAGAAAACAAGCTCTGTTTTGGGCATGATATGTCCAAACCATGAAAGAGAATACAATTTGAGTTGCTGCTTTTGCAAGAGCTGATTCTGGGTAGTGGATCAATGTGGATCAAAATGTTGAGGAGGAGCATTAATTGAGTCACACATCGAGGAAACTGTGTCCCATGGGGAAATAAATAAAAGGAAGTCGGCAGGGTGCAGTGTGGGTTGGGGAAGCTACGGATCAACTCTGCACGGAAAGACGGCTTTGGGTTGTGCACCACTTGCTAACAGATAGAGAGGGTGTGAAAAGAAAGTATCTGACCTCTAACCTTTCACTACTGGTCAAAATATACACTATTTCCTGGTGTTTGCTGGTCTTTTACTGCACTGCTTCGTTGACGCACCCTGAATGAATAAACCAAGAGCATTGACACCTTCATTGTATTTTACATTGAGCTTCCTCGTATATATTAGCCTCATGAAATATTCAAATGCATCTGTGTATGAAAAGATTTAACATTAATAGATTAAACCTGTGAATTCACTTAAATGATAATGGGGGCCATTTGTATATAAGGCACCCTTTAATAGTTGCAACTAATGCTTTATTAAGGGTTCATAAATCATGTACTCATGCTTTATGGATCAGTTATAAGTCCTAAGAACAACTTTCTTCCTCTGTGGGAAAGAGCTGCAGAACATATGGACTTGAATGCACTTGTTTTGAATGTAATATAACTTGATGTAATGTTTCCTTTGTCTTGAAGTCTTGAGTTATCACAATTTATAATTATAGATTATTTTCCAACATTAAAGGTGCTCTCCTGGTTATTTAAAGAGCTTAACAGACAAAGCAAGTGGTACACTGGCCAGAACCTGTTAAATCAAAAGATGTTCTTATTAATGGATTTGAACCAATCTATGAAAGATTACTGAATGATTTCATTACATCATACAAACGCTTAAAAAGAAAAGTGTATTAAAATTCCTTTCTAAAGTGTTTGTAAAGGGTTGAGAGAGAGAGAGAGAGAGTGTCTTGGGGAGAGTAATACCAGTAAATGAAAGCTGTGGAAAGGTGTTTTTTAAAGACTGACAATATCACTGAGTTGTGGTTGAGCTGGAAACATGTTGCTTGATAAGACTACTGCTGTGAGCTGAGCTTCGTACATCTTCAGCTCGTCTGTCGTGGGAAATAGGAAGCTGATGTGGTTAAAAGCCGCTGATACTGAGAATAAGAACGGCTTTTTCGAGAGCCTTGTGGGTTCAGATCTCTCCACACACTACGCCCCAATGGAACTGTTACTCAATCGTTCTCTTGAGAGGGTGGGGAGATTTGATGAGGGGGTCCAAAAGCTGATCTGTGTGGAGTATTTAAGATGTTCTGTGGTCCATGGAACTGTTGAGCCATTCGCTACAGGAAAGTCAATTCATCATACTGTCAGATTTGAATGTCACAGGGCCCCATGCAGTTGTCAGTGTTTCTTTCCACTACTGCCATGAGTTTTTGGTAAACCTATCTGTAAAACAACCCTTTGCTTGAGAAGTGAGGCATTTACTGACCCGTCTTACCATCCGAGTGATGACACTGATGATGACATACAGTAGGAAGTGTCACAGTGTGAGCCCACAGCTGCCACCGGCCCTCCCACGGACCGGGGAGACTGTGGTGAGTTGTTATACAAGCGACCGTCAAGGCATGTTGTGGAATATGTGAACTCTACCTGTCAACAACAGGTACATTATTGTCCATATTTGGTCATAGCACTTGCCACTGTCTTTGCATGCTTGACTAAAAATGAAAAGTTTATCAACTTCCTCCTGATTTTGAAATCTATAAATACTTCAGTTACATCCTCTACAGGTTTCACATTGGTTAGAACAGAAAGTTGTGTGTCTGTGGTGTTTTCCGCCTCGTTAGCGGCATGGCTTCAAAGATGGAATTGTTTGTCTGAAATGTCTCGACGACTGTTGGATGGATTGCTGTGAAATTTGTCCATAATGTCCACCTTTTCAGCTACTGCCACCCTCAGTTGGTCAAAATGTTAATATTTCAAATTTTTACATTTTAATTTAAAACCAAATACATGCAAAACATTCCCCTTTAGCATCAACATTACCTTTTTCAAATTAGCAAATGGCAACATAATATAATGCTCAACAAAGAAAGTGAACATGGTACACATAATCATGTAAGCATTGTCATTATGTGCATGTTAGCATTTACCTGAAAGCACCTCTGACCCTAAGTACAGCCTCACAGCGCTGATACAGTCTCTTGTTATTATACTAATGTCTAGTTCCAACTGAATGCAGGAACACTGAAACGGTCACTTCACACTTGATGTGTGAAGCGTTTCCCAATTTGCTTCGGAGTACTGTGGTATTTGTAATTTCTAGAAATACTAGCCACATTCTTGCAGAAGGAAATGAATTAGAGAAATGTTTTCAGTTTGCAGAAGTTTGTTGTCGTGGGAGAGGATGCAGGAAGGGCAACAGTGCAGACTTAAGGCTGTAGCCTTCACAGACGTGTTGAAGTGGAAAGAGATGACAGTCGCGAGGCAGACAGGTGCTGCTGATGAACGGCAGTAAAGTGATAGAATTTCTCCAAAGGGATTTACTGCACATGATGTATCTATAGCACGGACAGTATAGGCATGCATGTACAAGGAGCAAGACAAGAATGCATGTAATCAGCTCTGGAGAACAGTCACTCTGTTGAGTGGATGACAAATGTATTTATTCAGTGCAGCGACTGAGGGAACTCCACTCACCCCGTTACTGTCAGCAGACACTCATACCGCTACTCCACAGATGCATCGTCGACATTGGACCACTTCAAACAAGTGGGAATCTAGAGTATTCTGAACACTTCATGTGCATAAATGTTGAGATATTTCATGATAATAGCAAGTAAATGGGTTTCAAGCAATGATGAGTCATAGTTTAGAAGTTTGAGCTGCTTTCCAGGGGTGCATAGGGACAGGGCTCGGTTAATTATGAATCTGGCCGTCTTGGTCACGCCGCCCCAGAGGTTCAGTTGAGAAATGTGTTTAAATATTGGGCCGGCGCCACTTGTCCGAGCATTCCTCCAACCTTGGCTGTGGATAAGGAACTTCAGCTGTCGGACGTGGAAACTCTGCAGGGAGATGGTACTTTCAGCCCCACTGGCCGGCTTAGAGCTAAGACAGCCGGCACGCCTGGCCCGTTGTGGGAATACCACTCCCAGCATCACCGCTCTCACCGCTGTTACTCTGCACCTCGTAACAACAGAGTAAAGCCCTGGCACTGACAGTCGGGCTACAACGCACACCACGAGGGGTCATTCTGTTCAGTCTTGTCTGACAGGCAAATCAAGGACATTGTTGATGCTTCTGCCACGTAACAGTTCCTCCCCTTGGGTTGCTTGATGTTTGTTTTTGCAACTGGAATTCATTCAGCGAGTCCCACTCCTCCTCAGTTCATACATCACTACAGTATAGTCATCTCGAACAGGGTCAGCTCTTCAGGGATGTCTCAGGGGTGGAAATATCCTGTGAATAGAACAGATAGAGTGACCATTTAAGATTCCACGCTGCTGCTCTGCTTCAGCATCCCACCTGCCCTGCTGTTGTTTTTCCTTTGTGGCATGTGTGTGACTCTTTGAAGACCATTGTTACGATGTACACCCCCGCCTCTCTCTTTTCTTCTCTCCTGCTTTCTCTGTTGGGTCATATTCACACCGACATCTGACCTTTAAGTGTTGTTGTTGCTGTGATATGAAGTACCTGCGTTTATTAATTCGAAATTACTACTGATTATGAATAAATCCACACTTTTTGATCCAATACAGGTGCCCAGCAGTTTATACTTGTTTGTGACGCTTATAATCTAGTTTTTCTTTCTCAGACTGTGTCAAAGAAATATTGATTTAGACATTTGAGGTCAGTGTTTGCAGTGTGGTTGTACTCGATTGCACAATATTGGACGTTCTATCAAACATTATGATATGAGCTATCAAACATTATGAGCTAGAGCTTTCTCTGTGTGTAAACTGATTTGTGAAATGAGAGTGGCAGGAGCACAGTTTTTGGACAACCTTCTTACAACAGTTCCAGCTCAGCAAGCTTTTCCCTTCTCCCCAGTAGCAGCACGGATGTAGCAGGTGGAGCTGTCTATTCTTAGCTCTCTAAAGACAACATGATGATAGTGGACGCAGACTGGACAGCCTCTCACAGCCACCCTGGAATCTCTGTGTGGACAGTTATGTCCAAAACATATGCCTACCAGTCATTATCTGTGTCCTCTCTCTGTGTGTTCTTTAACAATGTCTAAAAATATAACATGTCTATGTTTCATTAAATCATTTGCAAATATACAACAAATGATTATGTCCACAGTATGATTTATCCAATCACTAGCCACGACTGATTGCTCCTCTTCTGTCTTGTGAAAGATGACGTTCATCGTCCCCACTCAGAAACGTTTTGCCAGCTCTGCTGCCCTCATGTCTTTCTGTGGCCTATTACGGAGGGATCAGTGACTGAGAGGCTTGTTTTTCTGAATGTATAGAGTGGGCAGGCCAGCCCACAGCAGCAGGAGTGACAGCAGACGGAGCCTACAAGGGCTGGTCTGATGATGAAGCCATGGAGACTCACCACATATATTTAACTGGGGCGACAGTGCTGGAAGATGTTTTCACACTTCTCGTTCGGTCTGTCAGTTGGGCAATTATGAATGAAATCACTTGTTATGTTAGGGGGACAGTTACAATAGAGATTACCAAATTTACTGGTGGAGTCACCCCTGTCTTTAAGATGAAATGCCGGTTATAGGTTAGTATAGCTCAGTGAAACCAGTGAAACAATAATCCACTGAGAGAGGGTCTCTAAGCCACACCTCTATTGTGAAATATTCAGAGTTTCTGTGTTTTTTTCAGTGGACTGATCTCTTTAGGATGGCTAGACATTTGGCAGGAAGGTTGCTTCAGTGGGAGGACAGCAGCTCTGTCGACACTGCCTGCCTGTCTGATTGTTCTCTGTCTGGCAGGGAAACAGGAAGGAATGGAACATACCTCAATATTTCACCTGGTTTTGACACATGGCTTCCTCTCTAAAGTCCGTCTTCACACGTAGTTATATCCTGTTCCTTAAGAATGTCATGAGAAATTGTTCTCCAACTCTAAAAATGATGGCTAACACACATGAGAGAGACAACAGAACTGTAATGAACTAATGTCTGTGTCTATTTTCTTTGTGTCTGCAGTGGGCAGTTTGCAATTGTCAAACGTTGTATAGAGAGGAGTACAGGCGTCGAATATGCAGCCAAGTTCATCAAGAAGCGCCAGAGTCGGGCCAGCAGACGTGGCGTAAGAAGAGATGAGATTGAGAGGGAAGTGGACATCCTGCAGCAGCTCCAGCACAACAACATTGTAGCGCTACATGATGCGTACGAGAACCGCATAGATGTGGTGCTTATCCTCGAACTGTGAGTCACCGCACGATTGAACAATGCAACACAATATCACTACAGTACTACAGTAAAACATCCAAACATCTTCACAGAATAGTTTTAGTACATGTTCTGATCTCTGTGTTTATTTTTGTGTAAAAAGATTGTTTGTCGAATCTGTGTTTACTAAAAAACTACTTGCCAGGATCACGTGTGCCAGAAAGAACCAAATGTTTTTCACAGTCAAATATGGGTTGTGTTGAAAAGAGGCCTCAGAGGCACGTGTTTGGGTTCAGCGACTAACTGGCAACATGTAGTGCACAATTAGGACTACAAGGAAGCTCAGTCCAATCAAAGCAGGGGTGAACTGACTGACAGAACAGTTACTGTTACATGCACACTGTGGGTCATTCAGTCTACTATGTTTTCTTTGTGTGAATATCAAAGAACATCATGTGTATCGCCTGGCAGCTGGTCAAAGGACTATTTATATCACTTTTCAGCAGTTTTTCCAGTATTTTATTATGAAAAGGTTGAGAGCTACAGTGATTTATAATTAGGGCAAATTGTTACCACAAACAAACATATCTAAGGCATCCTCAACCAGTGCATCCAAATCCTGAGAACTCACTTGAGATAATGTTCAAGAGAGTCCAGATTATCTGAGCCCACAGGATGTGTCTCTGAGTGTGTGTGTCTGTGTGTGTGTGTGTGTGTGTGTGTTACAGGGTGTCTGGAGGAGAGCTGTTTGATTTCTTAGCTCAGAAGGAGTCTCTCTGTGAAGAGGAGGCTACTCGGTTTATCAAACAGATCCTAGATGGAGTCGAGTACCTCCACTCCAAGAGGATCGTACATTTTGATCTGAAGGTACAACATGCTCCATCTGTGCATCATATATAAATCTATATCTGTCTCGTGAGGAAGATGATACTCTTTACAGCCACTGCTACTAACCTGTACGTACATGCAAGGTCAAGCTGGACTAAATTCCAAATATATATAGCAGGTGTTCAATGTCTCGCTCTTCTGAATCACACATCCTTCCTGTTTTCTGTGGCTGAAGTCCGGACACTCGGTTATAGACACAACAAGGTTATCTCTTCACTTTCAGACAACAGTGTCGCCCACGCTGCTGATAGTCACTGTCCTGTTTTTCTGCAGCTGCAGCTCCCCTTCGCTCTTAATGCATTTCATTTGGCCATTAACGAAAAAGAACACTCAGTGAAGGGCTCGACTCAAACTAGCCTGAGTTTGTGACCTTCACTTCACAAAGACAGATCTGTGCACTCATTTTCAGAGGGTCAGTTGAGGAAAATGTGTCCGTCCAGTCAGCGCGGATGTGACCTTTATGTTGATTTATAGGAATCCAGTAAAATCAAGTTTTACAAAGAGTTATGTGCTGAACTATTTCCCAGCTATTCTACACAACAAGACCTTACAGGTCCCCCAAGAAATAATCCGTCACATAACACCCATAGATGTATATTTGTCTCTTTTACACTATAGCTTTTGTGAGGATTTAATAAATGAGACACAAGGTGTTAATTACTTTAGAGGTGCCAAAGGTTTTGTTCCTTTTGGACAGAGGCAGGCTAGCTGTGTCACAATGTTTACAGTCTTTTTGCTAAGCTATAAATAAGCTGCTATCAGAAGCTTCATAGTTGGCGTACAAACGTGGGAGTGAAATCAATCTTCTCATCCAACTCTTGGCAAGAAAGCAAATAAGCCCATTTTCCAAGGTGTTGTTTAATATTTTAATATTTCACACTGACGAGTATGACTGTAACTGTTACAATGTTTTTTTTTAATGCTTACACAAAAGGCGACTTTAAGGTAACTTATTTTATTCAGTGTCGTTTATGAATGGTCCAATATCGGTAGAAATCTGCTTACAAATAAGCCTGTTTTTTGTTGTTGTTCTTTTTCAACTTCAGCCTGAAAACATAATGCTGCTGGACAGGAATGTTCCTCTACCCCGCATCAAACTCATAGACTTTGGACTGGCACACAAACTAGAAGCTGGGGCAGATTTCAAAAACATTTTTGGAACCCCTGAGTTTGTTGGTAAGTGTTTTTATATGAGATGTGTTTGCAATGAAGAACATTTTAAGAAGGTGTTTAGCCTGGCGCTGTTTGTGATGCAGGAGTGTTTCCTGTCTATTTTCAGCTCCAGAGATAGTCAACTATGAGCCACTGGGATTGGAGGCAGACATGTGGTAAGAGCTTTTAATTACCTCTGAATCGGCTACAACAGGCTTCAGTGCATAATTTTGGATTAACCTTGTGCTTTTCTTTCACAGGAGTATCGGAGTCATCACATATATACTGTAAGTTAGGATGATTCGTGATTATGACTGAGAATCTTAATGTACCTAAAGAGATTATCGAGGACACTCAAAGTGTGTGTGGGAATGTTGTTCTAGTTTGAGCGGCGCATCACCTTTCCTCGGCGACACGAAGCAGGAAACGCTGGGAAACATTTCGGCGATGGACTACGAGTTTGACGAAGAACTCTTCAGCAAAACAAGCGAGCTGGCCAAGAGCTTCATCAGTCAGCTCCTGGAGAAGGACACGAGGTAAATAAACTGAAAAAACAGCTGTAGGCCTAAGGTCAGTTCTGATAATACAAAGCCCAGTGTTACAGAGGTCACACCGCAATAAATCCCAAGCACACAATGTGCAGACCTGATCCAAATGAGAATAAAAACTAGCCAGTCCACAGAAATCTAGTGCAAATATTTAGCCACATTTGTTTTTGGTACAGTGATACACTTAATAAAACTAACAAACTAATGGCAAGCAAAGAACTGTGTGTCTTACTTTATAACATGTGATCTTGTTCTTGTTGCTTAACATGTGTTTCCATCTAAATGCACCTCCAGGAAACCAAATATTCCTGTGAAAGTTATCCCTGTGTGAACCGACGTATTCCTGAGAGAAGTGTGACTGCTCACCGTGCCCTGTGTGTGACGTTGAGTTGTCTGGGTGTATTTGTTCAGCTGCATTTCCTTTCTCTCATCATTTTAGAAAACGGATGACCATACAAGAGGCCCTCGACCATCACTGGATTAAGGTATGAGCTTGATTTATGTGTATTGTAGCATGTTTTTGTACTCTCAATAAATACTGACTACTACTTCCTGCCACACGTGAAAACAAGATTTAACCGTTGATGTCAAAGGTAACATGAGGGAAACAGGTTTGTTTGTTATTAGAGATGAATATTCATCTTTAAATCTGCCAAAAATTTTTGACTTCATGCTGAAAAAGTTCCCACAAGTATACAGTATATTCTCTGGTTTGTTGAAAACATACTGTATCACAGTTACTGTATATTATTTCCATCACTGCACCACATCTCTCTGAGTTTTCACCATTCACCATCAACACACCTCTACACATCTTGTACAGCTTGTCTTTTGCAATCAGAAATTGTATCTAGATTTTCAAGCGATCGAACTGAAGCAAGATGTCACTAATTGTGTTTTTAATGGCATGGACATTTAACAACCTGTAATGTTGGAGAAGTCTACTCCAACATTTGGCTCTGAGATGCATGTGAACGGTGTTTTGCTGTGGAGCCTTTGTTCTGTTTGGACACAAGCATGAAGCCAGGAAACATAACACCCATAATGGGATTGTCTGCTGTTTTTGTGGCACTCTTACCTGCCATGGCTTTTGCTGTAGGGTCACACACTAATCCTCCGGTGCCACGGCTGCTGGGATATTCACCGCTGTGTGTGTTTTCAAGATGCAACAATGAGACAGACTCTCATTCAGTGTCCCCTCCTCCCCTCCACCCTTCTGTCTGAAGTCCTGTGGCCACTTGGAAGAGGAAAGCGCTGCCCCTGACACTGAGAAGAAAGGGGAGCAGCTCAAGACGAAGCGTCTTAAAGAGTACACCATTCAGTCCTACTCCAGCATGCCCCAGAACAACACGTATGCCAACTTTGAGCGTTTTGCCCATGTGGTGGAGGACGTGAGTCTGATGGAGAGGGGGCTGTCAGAGGTGGCAGTAGCCCACCACACTCTGCAGGGTGATATAGAAGCACTGCTCTCCATCTACAATGACAAGGAGAGCTGGTACAAGGAGGACAGTGAGACTGCGAGGAAGCATCTGTCCCAGGTCCGCTACGAGTTTTGTAAAGTGGAGGCCACGAGGAGGCTGCTGCAGGAGGACTTGAAGTCTATAGATGCCAGTCTGGAGAGCATCAGTGGGAAGTACATCCATAGGCAGAGTCAGTTGGATGCTCTGAGGCAGGAGCTGAACTCTGAGCTACAGTGGCTGCAGGAGGTGATGGGCTCTCTGCATCCGGAAGGAGCCAACAGCAGCAGTACGAATACGGACGTGATGCATGCAATGAAGGAGCTGCTGCATCAGTCCTGCAGGAGGGAACTGAGCCCTGAGGCCAAACAGCCACTCACAGAGTCTGGCTAACATACACAAATCAAGATACACTTTAATTGACCTTAAAAATCGCTACATGTTTTTGAAAATGAGGCTGTTGAATTCTACACTTTTTTCAGCAGCACAAACTGAATGTATATCTGTGTAGTCTTTAAATTAGCTTATTTCTGATCTTTATTTATTTTGTGAACTCTGTAGAACGTTGACACTTTTCAGTTAAAGTAATAGTAGGAATAGGAATTTGAGGAAATAAGCTTATTTGTGATCTTGATGAGAGTTGGATGATAAGATGGATACACTTTCACATCTGTACGGTAAATATGATGCTACAGTCAGGAGTAGGTTACCTGTGGATAGAGGCAGGCTAGCTGTTTCTCCCAGCCTTCATTGCTATACGCTAAGCTGACCACCTTCTAGCTGCAGTTTCATATTTAACAGACAGATATGAGAGCGTCATCAAACTCTCAGCAAGAAAGTAAATAAGCATCTTTCCCAAAATGTCTAACTATTCCTTTTAGCTTTTTAATTTGAATAATTGATAATGTAGATGAACATCAGTTATGGATGTTTTTACTCTTTTCAATGTTATGTTTCATAATTTCACATTTTTTAATTGATTTATTTTTTCATTCCATTATTGTTTTATTTTATTGACTGTATATATTGACATGTTTATTGTTTTTTTCACAAAGGTTGTCCATTTGTAAATTTACATGTGTAGTCATAAATGTTTTTTTTTCAGATTATCTATGATCCATTTTTCATAGATTCAAATGTGCACTTTTACTAAAGGTTACATTTATTTAAGTATTTGATTTAACTCATTATTTAACTATTTTCTTTCTTTCTTGGAGATGTTTTATGAGACATCAGGAACAACACCATCTATGATAAGACCACATGTGTTTCAAAAGTATTTCACCTCCTTGTCAGTGTTTTTAGCATCACAATAGATATTCCTGTACACGGCTCACACTTTGGGCCTTTGATGTACACACTGACATTATCCACTGTTGTCTTAATAACACTGAAATAAATGTTCATCATTTATTATGTACCTGGTGAACAGATTCTTCTGATTTGTGATCTGAGATTTTAATATATTTCCTGTTGTACTTCAGATTATAGCATCACAATTAGACCAGTACCACAGCGTTATGTTTTTGAATTTACTTGAACATTTGACATTAATAGTAAAGATACTTTCCCTGTTATTTCATCCCTCATTGTGTCTCTACAGCCTCTGAATCCTAAACAGGCCATGGTGAAGAGGTTGTCAGTGGTCAACTTGGAGAACTTCAGGAGACAGTATGCCAGACGCAGGTGGAAGGTAAAGTTTCAGTATTTGTTGCACAGTTTGATATTTCCTTACAGTGATCAGGGTATGAAAATGTTGCTCTTGATTGCTCTCAGGCCTCATTCTCATTGCTTTTATCTGTTCAACAGCTGTCATTCAGAATTGTGGCTCTGTGCAATCACTTAACGCGGATCATGAAGAAGGGGCCCAAGCTGCCTGTGCAGGATGGGGTAAGAAATTACCTTTGAAAAGCTAACAGCAATGGATCAGTCCAAACAGTTTGGGAATTTTGCACATTCGCTTTCTTGCCAAAAGTTATTTGAGAAGATTGATACCAATCTCTATCATCTGTATGGTAAATATGAAGCTACAGAGACTGGAAAAAGCTAGCTGGCTCTGTCCAAGATTTCCAGGAGCAGTGACTTTCTGGTGTCTGGTTGTCACTGTGAGGTTGCAATGTAACTAATGGAGACTTCAGGAAATCTCTCTTCACGGCCAAGAAATAGTGCAGCACATAACACCTGGTAAAACCGCAAATTTAGGATTTTGTACAAATTGAACAAACAAGGTATAAGGTGTCAATTTGTGAGTGTTGGAGGTGCTGGTAGGTGGATTTTGTTACTTACAGACAAAGCAAGGTAAGCTGTTTCCTTTTGGGCTAAGCTAAGCTAATCGGCTGCTGGCTGTAGCTTAATATTTACCGCACTGTACAAACATGAGAGTGGTATCAATCCCAACTAACGCTCAGCAAGAAAGTGAATATGCGTATTTTGTAAAATGCCCAACAGTTGCTTTAAGAGTAACTGTTGTGTGGATAATGAAGCAGTTACGATCTGAACTGTCATCACCTGTCACCACACAATTCCACAGCTGTTTCTCAGCTCAAACATTTTGATTATTTCAGAGGGATTGTGAAAGTGACCAAGAAGAAGACATCCTGAAGATAAGGCCGAGAAGCAGAAAGAGAAGCAGCACTTCCTGAGAGCAAGTGTGCCGGTCGACGATGTTCCAGTTGCAAAACAGTGACTCGGCACCTTTTTGATTCACACTTTGCAGCTTTTGCGTGTCATGAAGAGTCATCTGACAGTATCTGCTTGGCAGAGTTAGATTCTGTTATTTTTATTGTGCAGGCTGCATGTGTGGATTTACGAGAGGTGTATTGTTCAAAGCACCGACAGATAAATAAAATGGTAGCAGATCTTCATAGCCAGACGTTTACATTTTGTTCTGCTTAACATACAGCAATGGCTGTGTAAACACACCGTTTACCATTAACTTCTTCACATCAGAATAATTCGCTTGAAGACTGAACGCTGAGCTATCTTCTGTATTTTACATAGGATATTTTCAATTACTGTCAATTACTCGTGTCCAATGTAGAAATAATTGCGTGTCATCTTGTGCATATATAAAGGCAGTATATAATAAAAGAAATTTCACAGTTGAATTTTTAAAACAATTGTTAGATGTATTTATGGTGTAAATATAATATCAGCCAAATGTCTTAATTTCACTGTTACTTACATCTTAAAATGATCATACACTGTTTTAAAAACACATGTTTTTTTCTGTTGACTTGTATGTATTGTAAATTGAAATTGTGTTTATTAAATTACTGAACATGATGTTTTCTTTGGAAGTTTCTATAAAGCAAACAAACAAAAATGACTCCATCACAATTTAAAAATCAGATCATCTCATGAGATCATCTAATGAAAACATTCTTGGCAAATGCTTTCGCTTTCAGCGCTATTAAACTTTTTTTGTTTTCAGACAATCACATTGTAATATGGTCTCTTTAATTGTGATCTCAATGCAGGTGTAATTATAACCATATGTTGGGCTTGATGTTTGAAAAGAGTATCAGCATACAGATGACGCCCAACAACATCTTTTAGCACATCCCACAAGACAAACGTGAATGTGCTGCACAAACAGGCTTTTTTCAATGTGATGCCTCGAGCCAATGTTCCTGTCAAACCACAATACGACGATAAAAGGTATCCGAATGCCAGTGGCCCCGGACAGTAAATACATTATTAATTCTCTGAACATCAATGAGCACTAATTGTGATGGTGCATTCCTACAGATTTTTTCCTCTGACCACTGCTCAATTATTTAGTATCACAACTGAAAGGTTGTTTGGGTCCAGTTGGGCTGAAAGAGATTGGAGGGACAATTTGGCAGCGACACAATGTAGGCCAATTACACACTGACGGTAAGAAAGAGTTGTAATCAACAATTAGGTCAGTCTGAAATCTGTAAGCCTGTTTTCATACACTGCGTAGTACTGCATGTTACAGTCTGAGGGGATTAAGAGGTATAATTGGATGTGAGGAGATAACCGGGTACTTTCGGGGTATATCACGATGCTCGAGATACCCTCAATTACCTTTTCCTCTCATGTTGCTTTCTGAAGGCATCTACTTCATTATGATTATGGCCTCCCTTGAGCGAGCAGGTGAGAGGATGCTGGCCGTGCATGCAGCGCAAGTGGTCCATAATAAGAAAGCAATCACTATAGAAAGTGGATTAGGAGAACACACAGAGGGACATCGCTTTGTAAGCTAGTCCACACGTTGGCCGTGGACCAACAGGTTTGCGGTTGAAGAGGTTGGACGGTCCTCAGCTGATGAAGCCCAACATATCTAGATGAAGCTCAAACAAAAGCTCACTGACACGATGTGATGAGTTAACAGCTCCTCCTATTGAGCGCCACAGCAGCTACACCTCACATGTAGTCAGCCAGTGGGCCGGCACCGGGGGTGGTTTGCATTGACAGCGCGTGCATGGCCACAGTGCTTGGGGACATGTTCATGCAGGTTTTTTATCTCAATAAAATCTCCACGGTCTTCATTTTAGATATGCATAAAAGATCCTAAAATTGACTCTACTTCCAGGGTGCCAGTGCTGCACTAACAGCTCCAGAAACATTTGCCCGCAGGCTCTTGGAATGACATCTTAGGAACCAAAAACTATGGAATATTAAAACTAGAACGAAAGAGATTTCTGTTTCTTTGAGGATTATTGTTTGGCAGGTACCAAATCATGTTTTGCACAATGTTTTTTGTTTACTGCATTTCGGTATGCTAGGAGAATTGCATGCATTTTTAGCCTGAATGAATAACAAGTGTTGGAATAATTGCTTTACACTGCTCTCTGGGGTGTCTGGACACAGGATATTAAGCTGACGATTTCCGTGGAGTGTGACACATAGAGCATCTTACTGTTTAATAGATTGAGAAAGGTCTGTTGAGATACTGTTCTCCTCTTAAATATAATTACATTTGGCATGTATTAGCATCTTTCTTGTATAAATAGCATTCTTACAAAAAGCTGACAGTCCAACTGTTGACTTAATGCACCTCGAGTCCTTATTAGAGCATACACATACAGTGTATTTCAACTGTACAGTAGTTTGTTTCTGTTCTGTGACAACCTGTGATTTACTGGCAGAAGATGAGATAAGAGAAAACATTTAAAGCATGCTCTGGCCACTCGTCTGTATGGAGTCTCTCTCCAGGCTGGTGACTGTAAATATTTCAGCCATGTATCACTGAAATATGACCTGAGTCCTTTGTAGCTTTGTCAGTGATAGAGAGTGAAATGACATGGCTTCCAGTCAATCGTTACAGTTCGGTCTAAAGCATCTCATGTAACAGAGTCAAAGCTGGTATGTTGGGATCAATTCTGTGGTTTACCAGCGACAGGTTTATGGGATCATGGGATTCCAGCATACTTACGGATGATCTGATGGATAGGTTGTACACACAGACAAATAAGGAGTGCTGTCAGAAATCATATGCTGTTTATGTGTAACACAAAACCATTTCCTCCATTTAAAGAGATACAGATATCTTTGAGGCAGTACTCGACACAGTGACGTGTCAGGAGCCCAGACTGCAATATGTAATGTGGTCTGCGTGACGTAATCCAATGACTCTCATCAGTAATAATATACTGTAAATTACCTGCAGGTATATCTGAAGTGTGAGGCACCATGGTGATTCTTGGCATCATATCATAGGCATTTGACACTAAAAGGTAGACTGATGCAGGGACACTCATAATTCATGTTGACTTTTTAGAAATATAAATATATTTTTTATGGCAGTGTTGGACCTCTGCTAAAAGTAAATATGTATAATCCCACCCTGTTGAGACCATTGCATTGGCAAGTGCGTAACCTCATTGTTTAAGAATTCAACTTTGGTCAGAGGAGACGCTTTCCAGTGATACTTTGTGTTTCTTTCACAATTGTGCCACCTAGTGGGCATAAAGACGTCAGGAGTGAGACATGTAAAAGCAATGATTTCTTACAAGAAAATAATGCAATTTAAAAAACTCAATGTGTAAAGTAGATCATATGCAAACACATATGATCATTAAACATTCATTGACCAAGAATGGCAAATGTATATAACCATGGCTTTCAAAGATAAAAAAATAAATCTCAAGACAAAAGAAACAGACAAAAAAAGAAACTCGTGTGAGCACGTCAAGTGAGAAATTGTAACTTCAACATGCATTTACAGCATAAACGAAGACATGTCTAGTTTACATTTATGAATCTCTCCTTAGAATATAGATGAAATCTGCAGCTACAAGTGCACACATATGAAGGTTTAGCCATCTAGAATGGACTTGTGATTTATATATTCAATCAACCTATGTCACCTGAATATAGTTTGAATTGTGCTGTTATTGTATTCAGAATTATATGTCTGATGTTACAGCAAACTGTGTGCATGGGGACATATGTGAACTACAAATCTTCTGACTCCAGTGATTCATTGTGCATCTTATTTTCTGCGAGCATCTGAGGGCTGTGTGCCGCAGTGAACAGAGAAGATCTGACAGAGGAGACTGTGTAATTCTGGAAACAGACCTGAGGGCATTAATCATGAATGCCAGCCTCTTACTTTATCTGTGTGATCATTAGGCTATACTTTAGCATGACGATCACTCTCTGGAAATGAGCTCCAGGAGGCTGCTTCCATTATTCATACCTACAAGAGCACAGCCTGCCCCCTATTCTTGGAGATGAGACTTAATGAAGTGTGGCCATATTTAGACTCGGTGCTCTTGATAAGTCACTGAGTGACATGTCTTTGTTAGTGGTCTAACCCCCCCCCCCATGCTTCATTCTAATCAATTAATCAATCTGCCTCCCCAGTATCTGCGTGAGTAGATTTAAAAAAGGTGATAGGTGTTGCTCATTAGGATGCAGAGGTTAACTGGTACGCCACTTTAAGGAAAAGCCATATATTTGATGGGCTGACCTATTCATCAAAGTTGTGCTTTGTTGCCATTTGAGCAACAGTAATGCGTCTTCCAGGAAGACTTCAGCTCTGCTCCTGTGAGTACGTTGCCTACAAGCAGGGGCTGGCATTTTGGAACTACATTATGACATTTTTATAGTATTTTTTACGACATTCTTTTTTCATGGTATACTATACTATTGTTTTACTATTATTTTAACAACATTTTTTGACACACTATACTATCACTTCTTCATGATGTTTTTACGACACATTATGTTATTATTTTTCATGGCAAACATAAACATTACTTTTTAATGACATATTATATCACCACATTGTTATGGCTTCTTTTATGACAGAAAATGCAATGACTTTTTATGACACTATACTTTATATTGTAATGGCCATTTCAATTAAATAGGACACTAGTATTTCTTCATGGCATATTGTACTATGACTTTTTTATGACATTGTTATGACATATTAAATAATATATTGGTATTGAATACTATAATCTGACTCTCTGATATTTCTTCAAGACATATCATTATTTCTTATTGTATGCTACATTATGACTTTTTAATGACATTTTCATGACACACTATTTTATAGTAGACCATACTATGGCTTTTTATGAGATTTTATATGAAATATGTCTTATATTTCATTCATTTCATTAAATTTGTCATTACGGAGTATATTAAGACATAGCTATTATTATGACATACATTATTGTTATTTCTATGACATATTATGCTATGGACTTTTTATACCATACGGTATTAAAAAAAAGTATGAATATGACATACTATACTATAACATATTTTATTACACTTTTTATGACATACTATGCTATGACATTTTTTATGATATTCATTCATTTATTTTATTCATGAAATACTATAATTAAAATGTTTTGACATAGAATATTATTTTTTCATGGCACGTTATTGACATTTCTTTGACATATTGTATTGTTATTTTTTTGGCACATCCATATGATGATTTACTATACCACAACATTTTCATATTTCATACTATACTATACATTTTTTCATGACATACTATACAATATATAAAGGTGTTCAGTCCTCTGACAGATGAGACCTTTATCTCTGTATGGTGTGAATGAGTCCATTCCTTGCTTTGTGGGGATTACATCAAAGTGTGCGACAGTCTCTTGCAGAATGTTCTGAAACATGCTGTTCTTCCTCCCGCTGCTCTGAAGAACTGCAAATTATCAAGGAAGGCGGTGTTTTTCATTTCTTTTCATTTCGATAGACTGCTCAGCAAAAGAGCAGATGTAATGGCTTTGATACCTTGAATTCATGTCCAAAAAGCTTGAGTGACCCCTGTTCACTCACGTATCTGACATTAGAGACTTGGGAGTTAATTACAGAGTAATTAATCCTTGTTTGGGTCTGAGATGCTAGCAGGTTACAATTTGCTGATAGCAAATCAGATTTGGTCGCTGCATGTAATCAAATTTGATGACTGTGGTTGTGACTGCCTTTTAAAATTGCAGGATTAAAGACTATGAGTAATGCAAATCTCACTGTTGCATTTCAGAAGGATGCATTTGAATTTTACAGCAAGATTTCAGAGGAGATGCCACAGTTATCTGCCCTTTATTCACAACACCTTTTTCTAGCATGAAGAGGTTTTTTCTCTCTCAGTTTATTTATATATTAACTGATTGGGGGGTGACTTCACATCTGCCTCTAGACTTGAGAAATGAATTACATAGAAACTGTAGCTACATATAAATAACTGTAGCAGAGTGAAGCACTACCACCTTGGCTCTGATTCAACACCACGCCGCCTTGTCATTTCACACTCAGCTGGAGCTACAATCAAGGCCAATTTACAATGAAAGGGTAGCTCGAGAGAATGAAGCTGTATTATCCCTTCCAGATTTTTGCAACTGGAACCATGGACCTATCCTCCTCCTTCCTTCCTCTTTTTCTCTCCCACTCGCCTTTGAATGCTTTCAACAAAAGGCTCTCATCTCTGCTCCTCCAGTAATGACGAGTCTTTGTAGTTCTGCCCACACATAGCCCGGACAAAAACAATTTTGTAAAGCACAACCTCTGTGAACCTTTGAAATGGAAAGCAATATGACTGCTTGTCCATTGTATTATCAGTCTATAATGTAACCAATTATGTAGCCCTTATATCGTTGAACGCATAATTGAGCAAATTAACATGTTGTTAATTATCACTTATGGTATATTCTGACAATTGCTGGTTTTTCTGTGCACTTGTGAATTTCCTTTTGTTTCAGTCCCACAAGCGGCAGCAATGCAGTACATTCCTTATTTGAATACATTTCACAATTGA